GCATGCGCGTATTTGCAATACCATCGACATCGACACTGGCCACTATTCCTGTGAAGGGTGCAGACATTTTAGGATTGTTGTTGCATACACTCCAGTAAGTGTTTCTTGCTCAATGAGGGTGCGTGCAATGTCTCAGGGTTCGCTCATACATGACCCGGAGGCTGTTTAAATATGTCTAGGTACGGACTACGGAGTACTAGGTACTCTTCAAGTTTAAACTGACCGACTGGCTCCACTACGCCAAGGGTCAACTGTCTCTCTTTCGGTCTCTTCGATTGCCTATCAATCCGGTCAGCAAGATCTCAGTTGTGTCTTTCGGTTCCAAACCCCGAGTGGAAAAAGAAAAAAAGACAAAAATCAAACCAGAAATCCTCGGCAAAATAAAGAGAAATACCCACGAACTAAAGGAAGAAGTACGGTATCATGGATCTCCTCGCTTGACCTGGAACAGGGCGGCCGCCCCGGGTCTCCGGCGGCTTATGGAGCCAACGCATTGCTAGCGTCTTCGGTACGTCTTCCACATGGTGTCCCAAAGGACAACGAATTGTTGTTTGTTTGTTACTGGCACAGTCTCAGATTTCGAATACAGTACGGAGTACGGTTAACAGAGGAGTTGGTATTTCACTCAAGGACAGAGGCTACATAGCAGTGGCCAGGTTGCAGAGGGGTTTACTGGATCTTCTCCTTTCCCTTCATGCGACTGCGTAAGAGACCGTACTCGGCACCAGTTCTAGCGCAACCAGGGTCTATTTACCCTTTTAAACAACCCTTGGCCAGAGAAAGCATCTCTTCAGTCAGATGCGCGGCTTTAGAAGGACACTTCTGCTGTTCCAGGCTTTCAGTGACCCGCAAATCGTCTTCATGGTGCCACTTCCCAGGAGCGGCATTTTCAGTCCCTTTGAAAAAAAAAAAAAAAAAAGGAAGAAAGAAAGAAAGAAAAGAAAAGAAAAAATAGGAAATATCTCTCATACAACGACGCTTGTTGCCGAAGAGTAGCTTTCTTCTAGCTGTCTAGCTTACTGTCGTACGTCGTACTCATCTGCTAGTTTCTAACTTGAGCGCCTGAACCTCGATCGTGAACTTTCTCGCGTTTAGTACAGTCTCACTAACGACCAGAGATAGTCAAAGCCTCCATACTGCCGTTGCATGTGAGTATGTCTCATTTTATTCTTCCCGTTCCTTTCTCCCGTTCTTTTCTGCTGTCAAAATCAGTTTGATAATCTAAACATGTCTGACATGAATCGTCGTTCAACTCGCCACCGTGCCTACCTGCGATACCCGCCTCGCTTCATAAGATGGATTCCAATCTTCCCCCTCTATGTAGGCGAGTTCACAGTTGATATCGGGATAATTCCCGAAAGTCGACTCAAGGTCTGTAGCGTCTTTGGCGACGAAAAGAGGTAATAATAACCTTGTTGGGGTTTGAACCTAGGAGAGTCATCCCCCTAGTCAGAGTACTTTACGGAGTAGTTTTGCATAGTAGCTTTCCGGCTGTATCCATCAGAAAAGACAGAATACAACATCACCGGGCCTTCGACGTGGAGAAATTGCTCCGTCCCGGTCCAGTCAGCTTGCCGCCACTTTCTCCCTGTCATCTTGGTGTTTATGTTGCCTCTTCCCCTCCTTTTCCCTTTTCCGGGTTTACTTCCTGCCACTATTTTCCTCTTTTGTCACTTGCAACCTAGCCTAACCTCAAGTCCTAGACTTGACACGGATCGTCACTTCTACGGACAAGGCGCCACCAGAGGGCGATCAGAAGCGGTAGCATTTTAGCAGTATTCGTAGCATTGATAGCATGGTCGAAGATCTCCATCTCCCGAACCGTCAAGCTATGGCCCATCCATCTTCTTAGAGTTTGTATCGTCTGTACCATGGGCCCTGAAGCGGTTGTTTTATTTGGGTATTATTTTACTTTCTGGGGTTTATCCTATGTGTGTACTATATCTGTTTTTCCGAGTCCCAATTCTCACCCTCAGGTAGAATTTTTGACCATAAAGGATAGATACCTAGTATATCTCCTTTAGAATACTCATATAATATGCCTGAGGGGCTTCATTCAGCATCATAGGTAAGCACGTCTCTGTGGCTGATTGTCCAATGAGTGGCAGTGAGGAATTAACTGGGCCTACTGGCGCATCCTTAGTATCACCCTCATCTACTAGACTGGCAAACTTTGGGCCCTCCGGTGGATCACTTTAGGATTCGAACTGTGCCTTTGTGCTTGGTCTAATCTCCTATGATTCACCCCGATACTGGCCTTATTTGACGATAGATTAGCCGTTTTGCTCATTTCCACTTTTGTTGGTTTCGTTCTGTTCTCGCCTGGCCACCTACGCACTGTCAGTTGTTTAATATTTACTATAAACCCTCTACACTTACCAGTCTACCTACCCACCGTCCGGTCACTCCCCGGCCGTTTTCAGGACCCATCAGCGGATCGTTCTCCATTCTCTTACTGTTGGCCTTCGGTCTCAATCGATATTTGACGTCCTCCTTTATCATTTCGGAGAAAAGGACGAACAAATATTAAGTCAAGTCGAGGGGCAAAATAGGAGAAGGATTAGCCTTGAGGCAACAGTCTTCTTCACTTGGCATCGTGGTGCTCCTTAATCCTCCTTAATCAACCACGACTATATATCTATCTCTCTGGTTTGTTTCGTTTGACGCGCACTGGATATTGACTGGAGAACATCCTGGACCGAACTGTGGTACCATATCAGTACATCCCCTGTATTATTCACTTTGTCCTCTCCTCTGATTTGCCTGACGGACCCGACTCGGAGGTCTTGAGCTTCTTCAGCAAGCGCCCGGACATTACTTTGAGACCCACCTGGTACACTTCTGATTCACTTCAAGATCTTGGAAGACATTCTTTTTCTCTCCTGAGATCCTGTTGCTCTCCTACAGTGTGATTTCGAGAAGCTCCTAGACCTGGCTGTCCTATGCCAATAGCGGATCTTGCCTGACTTGAGAAGAGACCTCTCTATCATGTCAATCAGTGGGCCTTGCGTCTGGCTGTCATCGTTGTCGCCTCCTGCTACATCCCATCTCTCTGCGATCACGAACCATCTACCGTCAACTTCCTGGAATAGCGAACAGGTACTTTCGAGATCAAGGGTGACCCCGCCAAGGTTGCCCTACCCGAGGGAGAAGGGAGGCCATTCGGTTCAGAAGCTGGCAGTCGACATGCAACCAAGTGCTGTACTCAAGGCTGAAAATGCCTTTTCAGCAGCTAACCCTGTGGCAACGTCTAACCATGTACGGAGTTCGGAGGCAGAGATGCCCCCACCAAAGGAAGCAGAAAGCAGAAGTACAGAAGAGACGCTGTCACGAATGAGGCTGGATCAGCTGAGCCACAGCGAATCTCATCCTTCTGGGATCTCAAGGCCAGCCAGCCCCTCTGCTCCGAAGGCATCTATGCTGGAGGCAAAGAAGCGGCCTCAGGAAGAGGCACGAGGGGATGACAGAGACGATGGCGAGGCTATGGGCATATCTTCGGACGAAGGAGGAGACCAGAAGAATTCCTCTGATGCAAAGACTGACAAAAAGAAAATGAAGCGGTTCCGGTAAGCTTTCACAACACCTCGATTCTTATGAGTGGTCGCGTTGTTGCTCAGCAAAACGAAAACTAATCAACCGCTGCAGCCTGACACACAATCAGACCCGTTTTCTGATGAGCGAATTCACTCGTCAAGCACACCCAGATGCTGCACACCGTGAACGTCTCTCGAGGGAGATTCCTGGACTGACTCCTCGTCAAGTACAAGTCTGGTTTCAGAATAGGTATTCTTCCCGTGTGTGGATTTCTCCTTGGCCCGATCGGTCCACTAATCCATGTTTTTCAGGCGAGCGAAACTCAAGCGACTCACAAGCAACGATCGAGAGAGGATGTTAAAGTCCCGGGCTTTACCCGATGATTTCGACACAACTCAGGTTCTGCGTACCCCATTTGACAACAAAACACTATCAGAGACACCAGTTGCGTCACCCCGAAACTACATGGCGTCTAGTACGGATTCTAATTCTCTGAAGATGCTTCTTACGGACGGACTACAACGTATCAATGACGACGAATACGTGGTTTCTCCGCTGAGTTCGTCGTCCACCACAGGAAATTGTTTCCCTTCAGCTGGCCCTGACAGGACACCCGATCATTTTTCCCAACACGGCATCCTTGGACCTCGACCGGCAGCAACGCTGCCAGAACTACAACGAAACACCCGCGGGACTTTCCCTTTCCCTAGGTCCAGCAGCTTCTCCGAAGTCTCATACAACACAGGACTGCATTTGCCCGGTAGGTTTTCGAGGCCGGGAGTCGAACCACTGAACCATCCCGGCTTGCCATACGCGCGGCGTCTCATGGACTATGGAATTCCCAGACCGGCTAATGGACTGGTTGTGGGCTACGATCATTCTCGGCCCATGGAAGGCTCTGTGTCGCCTACCGGCCAGCAGGAACAGCCCCTGCCATACAACGTAGACAACCACAGTATGTGATCGTCCTCTCATTTTTATTTTGAAGTATGGTAGACTAACGCGCCTCGAATAGACCAGCAGGTCCCAAGCTATCAAACCACACTCACTATGCCAGCTCCTAAAGGCTTTGGCAGCATAGAGATGAACTCACATATGCAGCCTCGACACATGCCCGCAATACACTCGATACCCGTGTCAGATGCACCTGACTACCGACCTTTCTCCTACGAGCATCACCCATACAGCATGCAAACAGCATTACCTTATTCGCAAGCCAACGCTTCGAGTATGAGCCTCCCTGCTTCCTTCCCACCGGATACAACACATGCTCCCCAGGTGGCCGTCTCTACTGAAGACCGGATCAACCAATCCCCTCAGATCTTGGACCCTATGCGAGGGAAATTTGGCAACCCATCCTACGACTATGCCGGCTACATGTGACATGGCAACAACCTGAAAGATTCGCTCCATTCCTCCGTCTCCTTATAATACTACCTTCGCTCTCGGTCCTGTATAGAGGACACAACGGGCCAACCTAATGTCTAAATCATTCTTCTAATCCTCCGTGCGACGGCTGATCGGTAAACCTGCTCAATATTCGTGGGCCATGGGACTCTACATCTATTTCCAATGGCTATCCATGATCCTCACTTTCTTGCTCGACCTCATCTCTGCATTTGACAATCCGGTTCCAAGGGAGGAAAATACTTTTGCATTTCATCTTTTTCCTTTTCTCTTGTTTTTTCTATGGGGAGGACATGGCATGGCGTCTGTTTATTTGTCCGTTTCTTTCATTCTTTGTGTTACTTTGGCTCACCTCTTCAATTTCACACCAGGGGACACACTGCGGTCCTGTGATCTTTTTGTATCTGTGCCAGTTCCCTGGTGGATTTCCGTCGTGCATGGATCTGTAGCCAGAAGGATCACTATTGTATAATATACATACCGTTACAATATAGCCTGCACCAACCATAGAGGTTGGGGAGCGCGTTCCATCAGCATGACTTAGGGCTTCGAATGTAGTATCCTCGTCCAATAACATGAAAGCTTTCGTCGAGGTCAGCTTGATCGCAAATAAGGTATGTCAGACCAATCAAACGCCTTAAGTTAGTAGCTGATCATCGGCACCATAAAGGATAAGCCCAGCCCAGTGGCCCAATAGATGGACTGCTATTACTGAGAGCCAGGCTTAGCCCTCACTGTCCTGAGTCAAAGGCAGACCCAGGTACAAGATGGTCATCGAATCAGAGCATAGTAAAAAGTAATCCGCCATCCACCAGTTGCGGCCCAGGTCATCCAGTCAAATAACCCCAGATTTTGCAGCAAATCAGCAGCGAAATTGCTGAAGTTGAGTCACGGGATCTGGAGTTGCGCCCAATTAACGTGCGGACATTGCTAATCTATCGTTGGCAGATTGCAGGCCATGGTCATGCAATCGAGAATATAAATACTGCTGAGGTTCGCGATAATTCTTTTTCAGTTTCATCAGCATTAATTCAAATAATCGCTTCAAAAGATTCACTCTCTAGAGCTCGTTCACCTGCCTTACTTTGTTCGCTGAGATTGCAATTGTTGAATCTTATTCGAGCTTCCTCGTCACTTCGGTTACGTCATACGTCATCCTACGACTTTCACAAGCACTTGAAGCGTCGCCGTTCTCTTCTCAGAGAATCCTCGACTTTCAGCACAATCTATCCGTTACCACCTAACAAGACAAAATGGTCCACCCATCTTCGACCTGCTGCAAAACCTCCGGTGACGGAAGCTGCGTCTGCGCAGCCCAGGCCAAGTGCTCATGCGGTAAACAGAACGCCCTCCACTGCACCTGCAACAGGTCCTCCACCGAAAACACCATCTCCGGACCCAGATGCTCATGCAGTAAGTCTGCCGCTGGAATTCGCACATTGCCGGATGAAGAACAAATGACTAACTTTGTCGGTAGGAGCCCGTCCGGCTGGACAATGTACCTGTGAGCGCGCAACCACCGAGAACCACCCCGTGACGGGTGCTGCGTGCCCCTGCGGCAAGAGACCTTCCACGTCCTGCACCTGTGAGAAGGCCAGCGCGGTTGATGCGGCGGCCGAGGCCATCGAGACTGATTTCACTACTCGTGCTTGAGTGTTTTCTCGCATTTGATGACGTTTATGGTTTTTTTCGGGCCTGGGGTTTTGTTCTCGGTGTTAGGGGTTTGCTTGGTAATTCGAGGATTCATTGTATCGTAGCGGGCATTCATTAATGGCTGCATTGCTACCGGTGGCTTGCGTTGAGCTTGTGCTCGTTTCCATGATTTTAGGATAAAGCAATCCTAAGTGATTGTCTTGATTCTAAGTGCATCTATTTGTATTTGTAGCCCTAGCAGATGGAAGCGTGGACACGACTTGTCCTAGTAGGGGTTCGTATGCTTAGGACCGGTTACCTACCAAGATTATGTCTCATTCGGCTGTCAACGTACTCTACCTCTCAAGCGTTCATTCTACACTGATGTTTTCCACGCCAGCAACAGCTAGAACCATATAGAGCAGATGCTTCAAGCACGAAGCTCCTGCGTGTTTCTCTTCATATAGCACAGTAGGCTTATCTAATACGCACATGCACCTATGGCTCAGTGGTAGAGCATTCCACTTGTACTGCCAAGAAATGGCGATGGAAAGGTCCGCGGTTCGATCCCGCGTGGGTGCATAGCAATGCTTTGCTTTTGGCACTCCTTTTTGCTCCTGTTTTATGTTTGTGCGATAGTTATCGCTCTGGAGTACACGCACATACTATCTTTTCCATCTGAATTACTGGGATCTCTCAACTGCGGGTGTAGCATAGTATGCTTTTCTAATATAACTATGCGCCTGTGGCCTAATGGTTAAGGCATTCCACTCTTGCTGCCAGAAACGGTGATAGTAATGGAAAGGTCCCCAGTTTGACTCTGCGGCAGGCGCATTTCCTTTTTGCCCCTATTTCTTTACACTGACTAGTTGTCACACTTGCAACATCTGAAATTTAAAGATGCCTGTCTATTCGTGCTTATGACTGATCTCGACGCACTGTGCTCTTCGAGTGCTGCACCGCCACATCGCATCAACATTAATCCTCGATGCGTCAGTGGGTCTTCGGCGGGTCGGCAGCGGAAGTGGCTTAAACAACTCGGAGAAACAGTTGCTGTGCTCCTGAAGCAGCCCGGACCGCACATGGAACTCCTATTTTAAGACCTCAAGCTTGGCTTGTAATCTGTTCTATGGGTCACATTCCAGGTTCGATCCTATTCATGCTCTTTATCTGACATTTTCCCTTCGGCCTGACGAAGTTCACGAATTGCTGGTGCTACCCTCGAAACCGATTTACCCCCTGTCGCAGCCATCCCCTCCGGACCCTGTTTGTGCTGGTAGAGCTGCACAGCATCTCGTTCGCGCCATGTGCCAGGTGCTTTGAAGAAGGATACCTCAGAACAACGAACTAAGTGAACGCCAAAACCGGGATATGTTTGTATGACACGGTCCGGCTGAGCGAATCCCACCGACGTGGTGTCTTGCGCTTTTGTGAGGAATCGACGACCCGTATTCAGAAAGCATAGAGTGTGCTGGATCATCCACCCCACGCCATCATGTCGTCCATGCGAGGTCTTGTGCAGTTCATCGCCGATCTGCGTAATGCGCGAGCGCGCGAGCTCGAGGAGAAGCGGGTGAACAAGGAGCTGGCGAATATTCGGCAGAAGTTCAAGGCCGGCAACTTGAACGGCTACCAGAAGAAGAAATATGTCTGCAAACTGCTATATGTCTATATCCAGGGGTACGACGTTGATTTCGGCCATTTGGAGGCTGTCAACTTAATTTCGTCCAATAAATATTCGGAGAAGCAGATTGGGTATCTGGCTGTGACCCTGTTCTTGCATGAGCAGCACGAGCTGCTACATCTGGTCGTCAACAGTATCCGGAAAGATCTACTCGATCATAATGAGTTGTTCAACTGTTTGGCGCTGCATGCCGTTGCCAATGTTGGTGGACGGGAGATGGGGGAGGCGCTGAGTACGGACGTCCATCGGCTGCTGATTTCCCCGTGAGTATTGCTGTTTTGTTTCTCTTGAGTGTGACGGCTAATAGTCCGTAGGACATCTAAAGCTTTTGTGAAGAAGAAGGCTGCTCTGACTCTCCTTCGACTATACCGAAAATACCCTGGCATCGTGCAAAACGAATGGGCCGAGCGAATGATTTCCTTGATGGACGACCCGGACATGGGTGTCACCTTGTCTGTCACATCTCTCATCATGGCATTGGCGCAAGATAGGCCGGAAGAATACAAAGGGAGCTATATTAAAGCTGCACAGCGTCTTAAGAGGATCGTGGTCGACAACGAAATCGCGCCTGATTATCTCTACTACCGTGTACCCTGTCCTTGGATCCAGGTCAAATTGCTGCGCTTACTTCAGTACTATCCACCCTCCCGTAAGTGTTCTATCTTTATCATACAGACTTTCCTTCCTCAAGCTCACCCCTTTTGCAGAGGACAGTCACGTCCGGGAGATCATTCGAGCATCCCTGCAACAGATCATGACCACGGCCATGGATACACCAAAGAATGTCCAGCAAAACAATGCTCAAAATGCCATTCTCTTCGAGGCTATCAACCTTCTTATTCATCTAGATACCGAGCATAACCTCATGATGCAGATATCCTCCCGTTTGGGCAAATACATTCAGTCGCGAGAGACGAATGTTCGCTACCTCGGTTTGGAGGCCATGACACACTTCGCCGCCAGGGCCGAAACTCTTGATCCCATCAAGAAGCACCAGAACATAATCTTAGGTTCACTTCGAGATCGAGATATCAGCGTGCGGCGCAAAGGCCTGGACCTGATCTATAGCATGTGCGACACCACGAATGCGGCCCCCATCGTGAACGAACTTTTACGGTACCTGCAGACCGCGGACTATGCCATTCGAGAAGAGATGGTACTCAAGGTTGCCATTCTGACGGAAAAGTACGCAACTGATGCTCAGTGGTACATCGACATTACATTGAAGCTGCTGTCCTTGGCAGGCGACCATGTCAACGACGAAGTATGGCAGCGAGTCATCCAGATTGTGACCAACAACGAGGAATTACAAGCATATGCCGCACATACGCTTTTAGGGTACCTGAAGACTGACTGCCATGAGAGCTTGGTCAAGATCGGTTGCTATGTGCTGGGAGAATTTGGTCATTTGATTGCCGACAATGAAGGCTCGAGTCCTATTGAGCAGTTCTTGGCGTTGCAGGGGAAGATGATCACCAGTAACGACAATACTCGTGCCATGATCTTATCCTCCTTCATTAAATTTGTCAATCTCTTCCCCGAAATCAAGCCACAACTCTTGCATATTTTCCGTCTCTACAGCCATTCACCCGATACCGAGTTACAGCAGCGCGCTTTTGAATACTTGACAATGGCCACGCTTCCCACAGATGACCTCCTCCGGACCGTGTGTGATGAGATGCCTCCGTTTTCGGAGCGTACCTCTATTCTTCTCTCTCGGCTGCATCAAAGGACGGCCGGCACGACCGAGAAGAAGACTTGGGTCGTGGGTGGCAAGGATGCTAATGCGGACAAGAAAGAAGTTCTCCTAGCACAGAACACCGGCCTCAAGCGTACATTTACCACTATTGTCCATGGTACCAAAACCGGAGCCAACGGATCGGCGGCGACGTCAAACGCCTCTGGCGACCTGGCCGGGCTTGATCTCAGCGCTCCATCTGCGCCCCCGCCGAACATGGCCAGTGCAGCTCATCTGACGCCTGACTGGGAACCAGGGTACAATAGATTGTACTTTGCGGATGAAGGCGTGCTCTTCGAGGATGCGCAAATCCAGGTTGGCTTGCGGTCCGAGTATCGTGGCCACATGGGCGTCGTGAAGATCTACATCTCGAACAAATCTTCATTTGCGATCGGATCTCTGACGACCACGCTAGACAACCCTGCGGCGCCAAACCTGAAGATTGATAGCAAGAGTCTCCCAGAACCTTCTGTTCCGGCCGCGGGCCAAACCCAGCAGACGCTATTGGTTGAGGCTCACGGGCCGTTTAGTGAAGCGCCCACCATCCGAATCTCGTACCTTGCTGGAGCGCTTCAGGCTTACACCCTACAACTCCCCGTGCTGATGCACCGCTACATGGAGCCGTCGACTCTGTCAGCAGAAGAGTTCTTCAAGCGATGGAGGCAGATTGGCGGTCCCCCGCTCGAGGCGCAGCACACGTTCGGCGTCACTGCCAAGGCGAAGAATATCAGCGAGGCCTTTACACGACGCCTAGTGGAAGGGTTCCACTGGAGGATCCTGGACAATGTGGATCCCAATCCCAATAACATCGTCGGATGTGCTGTGTACCAGTTCCACGGCGGGAAGACTGGATGTCTTCTTCGACTGGAGCCCAACTATGAACGCAAGGTAGGGATTTTCCCAGCATGAATTCCCCACACTTTACTGATATCGATTTCCGCAGATGTTCCGGGTCACCATTCGGGCCACGCAAGAAGCCGTGCCGCAAGCACTAGCGAAACAGATGGAGCAGAAACTGGCGCAAGGCGCATCGGATGAGATGTTCGGCTCACGATGAACAGACGGGAATAGCCTACGAACTGGCAGCTGACAAGATGATGGACAAGTCTTATGACTGACTAATAATACTCTCGATCCAGAGTTCTCTCCAAAGGCGAGATTACCTTTTGATGTAATTATTGATGCTAGCAAGGTACATATATCCCCGTGGCTTTGAGCAGTGATCAAGCCGTACCACATCCTAGTTATATGTGCAATTTCCCCACCGGCCATGGAGGCAGGGCTGGCCGGTAGACAAGTCCTCCTCATCGGATGCAACGCCCGTAGTAATGCAAATGTCATAAATCATCACTCTCCTCCCCACATCATCTACACCACCTTTGCCTCGGACTTGGGCGGCCGCTCCCCAAAAATCGTCGTCCCAACACGCACCTCATCACTCCCCAGCTTGATTGCGCCCTCAAAGTCCTCACTCATACCCATACTCAGCTCCAGCTCGGCATCATCACCCTGCAACCCCAGCTCCCTCACGATGCGATCCCGCGTCTCCCGCAAACACACAAAATCCTCATTCTCCGTCTCCGGCGTTGTAGCCTTGGACCGCGCAATCGCCCCAATAGTCATCACCCCTGCAGCTTCAACCGCGGACACTTCTCCCGGATGAACCGCGCAAGCGGCACCGCACCAGTCAACGGGTCCACCCCGGCCTTGTTCTCCTCGCCGGAGGTGTTCACCTGCACAAACACACGCAGCCGGTCCTCGTGGGCAACGCCATGGACTTCCTCAGACCGCTCCCCCACCCTCTCTCCAGCAGCGTGGCCTTCTTCTCGCTATCCACGGACTCGACCGCCCAGAGCCCGCGGACGTCCCGCGCGAGCGTGACGCACTTGTTCGACTGCAGTCCGCCGATGAAGTGCCATCGGATACTGGGCGGGAGGAGCTTGGATTTCTCGAGGAGTTCCTGGAGGTAGTTTTCGCCGAAGTGGAGGTGGTTTGTGGGCGGGTTGTGGAGGGCGAGGATATCGGCTGCGGGCTTCAGTTTTGAGACGGCGATGAGGCGGATGGGTTTTGTGGTGGGGCGGTTGGCGTTCAGGGCGGCGGTACCGACGCGCGAGGTTACGGATGAGAGGTTCGCGAGGAGAGTTGCTGTTCGGGAGGGTGAGGCGGGCATGATTGTTGTTGATGTTGGTGAGGGTTGTTGTTCGGTGGAAGTCATTGGTGGTGTTGCATCAGCTCGTTTATCGGTGTGGTGGGAGTGGTGGTGCAGTGTTGGCTGAGGATTAAAGTCGACTAGGTCTGTAAAGGACTAAGAATACTACTTATGGTGGTGACAACTGCAATGAATTTGCGTTGATATACGAGGATCGGTGGATGGAAATTTGCGCCTCAGGCATTAAACTACAACAGTAGCACACTAAGCCAATTCTGGTTAGAGGCACCTGCCTTAGAAGGTAGCCACGTGATAGTCGGTAGTTAACCGGCGCGGATGACAAATGACATTTTGGTGTCAGACACCTGCCGCTAAGCCTTATGGGTACTAGCTTGATACTGTCCGGGGAAACTCAGCAATTCCGCTTCCGGCGAAGTCCTGCAGGTCCAGAATTCTTGAACTGATCGTCATCGTCATGACTCTTTTCATCAGTACCGATGATGATCACTCGGATGTCGGAGTCTGGGCGGAATCTGGCGGATTGGCAATGACGATGACTTCGCTAGTGCAAATTTGCAGTGGAATACGACTGTGTACCAGCACGAGGTACGCATCCACTACGTACCTACATCCTCTGACACCGAAGTGGTCCGGCAAACCCACAGCCAGATGGAGCGAAACGGTCCATCCAATTTCGCGGGCTCCATTCGTTTCTCCATTCTAAATCGATTCTCTGGCTGACTGGCTACACTTTCGCATGCCTCATTTTCATAATTCAAGCCAAAGGTGAGACAGATGTTGTTTGTCTCTTTGACGGTGATCCTTTCATCCGCCTGCTGACAGCCAAGGATTACAATACTGCTCGGCATGAGGCGCAGTTGGCTGATGTCCATTCATTGTTCACGATGAATGGCCGTTCAGGTGCCTCCAACCAGGGCAAAGGAGGGAATAAAAGTTCAAAAGTCAATCTGGACAGTAAGATAGTCCCATCTCCATCTGTCGAAATGCAGGCGCCTAAATAAGCCACCCACCGGGAAAGTCTAGCCCTGGGAGAAAAGGCGATTGGACCCTTGATAAGCCAGTAAGCCTTCAATGCTTGGAGGAAAATATTAATAGATACAAAATCTTACTGTAAAGGATTTGAATATTAAGTACTCCGTAGATCTGGAGGTATTAAGAGGAGCCAAAAATGGCAGAGTCATAACTGTCCGAAAGTGCAGTGCTACTCTACTGTTTCACCGGCACTTCTTTCATTGTATATTGACGTCAGTTACATCCTGCTGCACTTATATGGTCACATCACCACTGCCATCGTCATTATCGTTGTCATTGCAACCTTTTACTTCTGGAAGATCTAGGCTGGACCCTAGATTATTGCTGCTTCCCATTCACATCTGAAATCTCTGTAACCTTAACCTGCATGACTACACTGAAGTCGGGACCTATATATTAAAACAGAATCGATCTTTCCGCGTTCTTTTATGCGCTCTCTTTATCCCAAATATCCGCCGGACTATCATAATCGGATACTCTGAGCTGAGGCTTTCGCAGCAAACAAAGAGAGCATTGTATGGCAGATTTCGGACTATCAGCCATTACAATCACCAACGAGCCGCCAGCCTCTTATGATCTGAGATTGCACCGCGCATCAGACCTATACAGCTGAATTCATATTGAAAACAACATCATTACTGGCGTCTGGCTTGCCTTGTTGATCTGACCTGATAACACATCGGAAGTCTGCGGAACCGACCCATCACAACTCCAATTTTCACCTGCGTGAATCGTCTCGCACCGAGACCACGAAGAGGTCATATATTGTCCATAAACACCGAATCATCATGTGTCGGCAGTACTATACTCAATATGCCTGGTGCCAATGCGCAGAAGACTCAGGTCAGAGTCTCTGCGCAGCTCGCAAGCGCAATGGCTGTCAGGGTGTCAGCATCGAGACGGTACATATGCAATGCTTCTGCCACCACCATGCCACTAGAGGCTTCAAGTCCGAGAAAAAGACCAAGAAGTCTAAGCGCAATTCCGAGGTCGGCTCAACGGACAGCTCACTCCAAGAGAAGACCTCAGCGATATCGAGGAAGTGGTACCAATTCCGCGGACTGCGAGCGCGAACCTTCTGAGTTTGGGTCCTCCCTATTCATGACGGACTTTCTGGATTGATGCCAGTGACGTTAATGCATTATGATTTGGATCGGTGTTTTTGGGGAGCTCAAAAGAAGCTTGTGGTGTTCTGGAGGGCTGGGAATGGCGTTTCTCTTTGGGAAAAGTGACGACATCATTGTCTGCCTCTTCTTCTGTATTCATTTAGATGCATATCACGATCCATAAAGCAAATCTGAAGATTCCATTGATTCAGTTTCATTATGTCCGCTGCGCGACTTCATCTATGCGACTCGTTCGGCATCTGTTCGAAGATCTCTTCTGTGTCTCTGATCAGAAACAAATAACCACTGAGCATGACTTTTCGACTTTGAGGAATACTCTGAGTTTTCTTTACGATGGAACATTTCATTATCATTATCGTTTGATCAGCGTCATACTCAAAGTGACGACTACCCAATGATAATGTTAAAAAAGGGCGCCGAAGAAGGGGAGTGGAAGGGATCGACTGCCCCTTGGCTGGATGAGGGGGAAGAATGACGATGGCTCGTTTTCTCTCCTTGTTCCCCCTCGCTTCTCTCCTTTCGACCTCCTATCTACTAAACTGCTTCGGATAGCTATAATTCAGTTCCTTGTATCTCATCTTTTCTCTGAAATTAACACGTTACGCTCACAGTTTCTATCTCAACATTTGATTAACGTTCAAATGCCACTTCCATCGCCATCATGGACCCCTCCATGCGCGACGAGCCTCCCCAGGCGACATTCGCTGCACCACCAAAGCCTCCCACACCCAATCCCAACGATCTAACCAATAGTCTGAACCATTTGACAATTGCTTCTGCGGCTGCGACTCCTCTTCCAGCCTCTCCATCCCCATCTTCGTTACTGTCGCCTCCAGATGTCCCCACGCGTTCTTCTGTTGATCTGGCGCATCCTGCACCGCGACGAACTGCCAGTTCCAATTCTCTAAGAGATGAAGGAGATGAACGACGGAAATCCTCCTCCAGCCTGAAAAAGCGATCATCGACCGCGTCGCTCCGATCTGGACACAATAGTGCAGGCGCAAATTCGCCTCGTCCTAGTCTATCGCGACGCTCTTCGTCCTCCAACCTCGCGACCTCCCCACCTCCACATCAAATATGCCGTCCAAAAGACCTCAGGAGCAAGCTGCGCCCACCGCGGCTTCTGTTGCCGCTGATTTCTTCCAACGAGAAGTCGACTTGCACCAATCCACCGACCTAAATTCCAAAGTCGTGGTAGTCGTTCATGATGCATGCTACGGCCATCGCTTCTCGCGGCCACGAACGTCAAAGACCGCCTTGAGTTACATCGTCGAACGGCCCGAGAGAATACAAGCTTGTGTGGTGGGAGTATCGGCAGCTTATGTCCTCATGGCTGGCCGCCATGCTGGAAAGCGCTTTGCGCCTCATCCTGATCTTGATCTACATCAGCTCCCCGCGCCGCCGTTCCAAATCCGCAAGACGTCGCGAACTATGCCTATCACGTCTGCGGCTGTCACTCATGTGCATGGGACCAAGTGGATGGATGAGCTGAGAACCATGTGTGATGCGGCAGAATCAAGACTTGCTCTAAATGGCAAAGAGTTGGTTCGGCCGCGCAGCTCAGGAAAGGACGGCGAATCCGCCAAAAAAGCTCCGCTCAATGATGGCGACCTTTATCTTTGCTCCGAATCCTTGAATGCCTTTGAGGGCGCGCTCGGCGGGGTTTGTGAAGGTGTCGATGCCGTCTTCAACTCCAACACTACCAAAAGAGCCTTTGTCTGTATTCGACCCCCTGGTCACCATTGCTCTACCTCTCATCCGTCCGGATTTTGCTGGATCAACAATGTACATGTGGGAATAACCTACGCTGCCATGACCCATGACCTGACCCACGCCGCTATCCTGGATTTCGACCTGCATCATGGCGACGGTTCGCAAGATATTGCGTGGGAACAGAATCAGAAAGCCGTGTCAGCGGTCTGGAATGCGGCCAATCACAAGAAAACGAGGGTGGGCTACTTCAGCTTGCACGACATCAACTCATTTCCTTGCGAATATGGTGATTTTGAGAAGGTGCGGAACGCTAGTGTGTGTATTGATAAAGCCCACGGTCAATCGATTTGGAATATCCACTTGGAGACGTGGAAGTCCGACGCGGAGTTCTGGGATATCTATGCCGCCAAATACACCGTACTGTTAGAGAAAGCGCGTGCTTTTCTACGTCTGCACACCGAACGCCTGCTTGACAGCGCGCCCGGCGACACTCCGCCAAAAGCGGCAATCTTCATATCCGCAGGATTTGACGCGAGTGAGTGGGAAGGTTCTGGTATGCAGAGACATCAAGTGAATGTACCGACCGAGTTCTATGCGAAGTTCACCGCGGATGTTGTGCAGATGGCGGAGGAGGAAGGGCTAGGAGTAGATGGGCGTGTCATCAGTGTCTTGGAAGGGGGCTATAGTAATCGAGCATTGACCAGCGGTGTCCTCAGTCATCTCGCAGCGCTGGGAGACACAACGACAATGTCGGCCATCATCAACGATGAGCAGCAGGTCGGTCTGGCTTCCGAAATGTTTGATCGCTTGCATGTATCGGACAGCAACGCTCCAGCTGAAGCACGGCGCATCCCATCTGACATTGGTTATGATAGTCAGTGGTGGGCGCCAACAAGACTCGAGGAGCTGGAGGCGCTTGTCTATCCACCTCCTGCCACAGCGCCAAAATCAAAGTCTGCTCGCACCTATTTTGCACCAACGCAATCTTTCACTGCCAAAGTCGTTGCTGCCCCTCGGGATCGAAAGTCTACTGGCTCACAGGCGGGCTCGGGTGTTGTACCCTTGCCAGAGGTAGGCTGGGCTACGGCGGCACACGAACTATCCAAAATCCTTATTCCCAGCCATCGTCAGACCACGAGTTATCGGCCGGAAGAGCTTAATGCAGAAGCTTCGCGCATTCGGCGGGAGCGTCAGACCGCTGTGGCTGCCGCCCAGGCCACCCAGAAGGCCACCATCGCAGCTTCAGCAGCTTCAGCAGCACCAGAAGGAAATCGGATGCAGCTACGTACGAGAAAGGCCAAGGCTTCTCTGCCTAGCAGCCCAAAGGCGGAGACCCCAAAGAAAAAAGTTACGAAGAGCACTCGGAGGACTACTATCGACCCTGGTGACCTACCAAGTTCAACTACTGATAGCTCGCCTGGCGTCAGGACAACTCGGAGGAAAAGCACAACCCCGATCGCTTCTAAACCTTCTGGTACAGCCGAGGCTGGCCCAAACAATTCGAGCTCGTTGAATCTTGGGGTAAGCGAAACGCTCGTACAATCAAACATACCCGCGAGTAATCGTCCTCCGGAGTCTCCTAGCCGCAGCAGGTCGAGCACCCCGTTACGGTCCGCCGCTCCCAAACGGTCTGAGGGTCCCAAGGTGCCTCCTGTACCGCGTGTGCCGTCTGGTTTTCTCTCAAAACTAGCCTCTAGCGATGATCAGCAGATCGTCGCCGACCAAACAAAGGCGGCAATGACCGAGAAGACGGATTCCAGACCGGTAGATTTGGACGATTTGGCAGCAGGCGTGAAGAAATTGAGCATCAAATTGAAGGTACCTACCCCTGAAGAACACGCCGCTCGCGAGAAAGAGAGAAAAGCAACAAAAGCGACAGAGGAACGTCAGAGACGCGCTCCCAGACCGACAACATCCAAGACGCCGAGATCCTCCAAGAAAGGCTCAAGCGTCACCACGACCGCGCATGCTTCAACTGCCCGAGGAACTTCTCATCCCTCGCCGAGTCCTAGCACCTCCCAGATGCCTTCTGGTCCGAATATAGCCAACTCCAACGGGAACATGGATCGGGCGAAACAAGAAAGCCCGGAAACTGCACCAGAGGAGGTTGTTGTCTCTTCTCCTGATCCGCTGGCTGAAAACAAAATTCCGCTCTTGAGCAATGTCACTATCGATCGCCCTCGCTGGGGAAGACCCAAGGATGTGTCAGTATCTGATTCTGTCTCGGCGCAGGAAGCTCCTTCTGGGACAGCAACCCCGTCCTCGTTGGCTTCAGAATCCATGCCCGCTCGATCTACGGTATACTCACCACCAACAACCGCGCGTCAGACATTGAATGGTCTTCCCGTTTTCACGTCCAGCGGCCCTATTCCTTTTGCGCCGGCAAGCACTGTTCCTAAGGAAGAGCAGGCCTTCGCTACGCAGCAAAGGCTTTTCGGCCATAGTGATAGTGCAGGGACTGGCCATCCAGATCTTATGCATGATCAAGACAATAAACCCGAACAACACTGATCTTTGAACGTCTTTTCCTCCTGTTCCCGCCCCGGACTCCCGGACTCCATGCGCTAACTTCGCCGTTCTTTTATGTTATCCAATATCTCTTTTGTTGATTTAGTCCGTCATGTTTGAATATACCCCCTGAGTTGTACTGAGTTTGTTAGTTTGGGTCTTGACCGCCCTTGTCTCTTCACCATGAAGCTAAGGATACCTCATAAGAATGGATTAAATTTAACAGATTATTTTCTTCATGAATGATTATTAAGTCAAGTACCCCTCGAGGGGTACCTGTGTCGGCGGGCTACAGAGAGGTACAGATGATGTGCTTTGCTTATCTCCGATCTCCGGATCAGATATCAGCGCCACACCCACACTGGAATCTTCTTCTCCGCTTGCTGCGCCTCATCTAGTTGTGCTGATAGTACTGCTGAGTCAGGCGCTTCTCTCCGCATGTTGCCAGTGGCTTCTAGCGCCATCTCTTGTTGCGCATTATTCATCCTTTCTCTCTTTACTCAGATATAATCAAGACGCTCTCTTTGTCTTTTGCCTTCGTTTTGTTCTGTTCTGAAAGGTGATTTTCCACCATGTCACCCATAACCGTCTCCAAGGGCCGGACACCCAGCCCGAACGCCCAAGAATCCTTCACGCAAATGGCCGATAATGACCTAGAGTCCATCGGCCGACACTGCCAATTCGAATACTGCCACCAACTCGACTTCCTCCCTTTCCGCTGTGAACCCTGCCGCGGAACTTTCTGTCTCGACCACCGCACCGAAACCGCCCACCGCTGCCCCAAAGCCGGCGAATGGGCCCGCCGCCGCAACGGCAGCCAGAACACCAGCACCGCGAGCCTTCCCACACAGAAACCCACAATCTACAACTCAGACCAATGCGCACATCTCGACTGCAAGACACTCATCAACACGCTGAAAGACCCCGGCGTGCGCTGCCCAAACTGTGATAGACAGTATTGCCTGCGTCACCGGCTCCGGGAGGAGCATGACTGCGCGAAGATCGCACCGCTTGGCGCTCGGGCAGGTAACCAGGGCTCAAGTAATGCCGAGACGATCCGGTCGATGTTTGCGCGGGTGCGCACGTGGGGAAAAGACAAGGGACAGGCGCTGGCGCCGAAGCCCAAGGCCAATAGCGCGGCGGCGCGGATCTCGGAGCTGAATGCGCTCAAGAAAGCAGCCAAGGGCGATGCAAGCGTCCCCGCTGACAAGCGGCTGTATCTGCATGTGGTTGGGACGGCGGATGCGCAGGCGCAAAAGGCGGAGCCGCCGTCGGGGGATTTTTGGTTTGATTCGAGGTGGAAGGTTGGTCGGGTGCTGGATGATGCGGCGCGGAGGCTGCGGATTGAGAATGTCAATAATCGGGCTGGGGAGGAGGAGCGGTTGCGGATCTTCCATGTGGATTCGGGGGAGTTTTTGGAGTTCTCGGAGACGATTGGGGGTGGGAAGGTGAAGCAGGGTCATACTATTGTCTTGTTGAGAGGGGCGGGAGTTATTCTGGGGAAGTCGTGAGGAATGATGCGCTGCGTTTTTCTTTTCTCTGGATAATTCTGCCATCTGGAACTGCATATTTAGCATATGATACACCAAGAGCGTTTTGGATACCTTTTACATATTTCCCTGAGCTCGGGCTATTAGATCGTCCTTAATGCCATGCACAGAGGTGCCTTTATTGAAATCAAGGATCTAAGCTATATAAGAAATGCTGGTATCAACTGTATAAAAACCTGTACGAGGTCAAACGCTCATGTTCATCTTAATAGCCTTGTGAGGCTGGTACCCGACGACCTCAAACTCCTCCTCCTTCCAACCATCCACAACTCCACTACCACGGTCATCGCGCTTGATGCACAGCTCCGGGAACTCAGTCGGCTCCCGCTTGAGCTGCTCATTCAGCGCGTCGACATGGTCCAGATACACATGCGCATCACCCATGGTATGAATCAGGGTGCCGGGGTTCAGATCCGTCGCATGGGCCAGTATATGCGTCAACAGCGCATACGACGCAATGTTGAACGGCACCCCAAGTCCCATATCGCACGAACGCTGATACAGCAGACACGACAGACTCCCCTTCTTGTCCAGGCCCTTCGGATACGAGACATAGAACTGCGCAAACATATGACAAGGCGGGAGCGCCATCTTTTTTAGGTCCGCCGGGTTCCACGCGCTCATGATAATGCGCCGGTCAAAGGGCGTTTCCTTCAGCTTGCGCACGACCTCCGCCAGCTGGTCGATGCCTTGGCCCGTATAATCCGTCTTGGCGTCGACGTACTCCGCCCCGAAATGCCGCCACTGGAACCCATACACGGGGCCTAGGTCGCCCACCTCGCGATGGCCGAGCCCGACTTTGTCTAGGAACTCGCGGCTTCCGTTACCGTCCCAGATTTTGATGCCTGATTCCGAGAGGGGGATGGAGGAGGTACATCCGGAGATGAACCAGAGGAGCTCGGCGATGACGGCGCGCAGAAAAACACGTTTGGTGGTCAGGAGGGGGAGCACGGGGATCGGTTCCGAGCAGGGGGTAGCGCCAGGCTTGGAGAGCGAAAAGCGCAACTGTGGTGGTGCGAAGATCGAGCGAGTGCCTGTCCCTGTGCGGTCGGGACGATGCTCGCCTTCGGCGAGGATGGTGCGGATGAGGTTGAGGTATTGATGTTCCTCGTGTGCGGGGTTATGAGGAGGAGTCGGTGTGCCAGATTGGCTGAGGGTATCTTGCGGCGTCACAGCTGCTGGCGACATGATGCTTGTTTGCTCTATGGATTGAATTGTCATGTTGATTGAGATACTTCGTCGTCGAACAATGCTTGTGGAGGACTTTTTGAGTAAACGCGTGAACGCGACGCGCGAGATCACGTGGTGATAAGCAAGTTATCGGGCTACAATTACATTTGATTCCCAAATTGGAAGTATTACTCTAGAGCTCCGGCGGTTGTACCAGGGTGGGAATGATGCTTGACACCATCTTAAGGTTATGTGACATAAATAAAGGCGCTCTAACGACAAGCATGCTAGTCTGCCAGCAGATCAACACCAACCCCACGCAGCGCAGTGACAGCCCACTCAGGGAATTTCGCTTTATCCCCATACAGATTGTCGAAAAACTCGCGCAGAAATGCAGGATATCGATCTTCCAAAATGGCTTGGCGAGCGGATCCCATTAGGGAAAGCAGATAGTGAACATTATGAATGGTGAGACTGTCGAGCAATTAGCACTAATATTCCTCGGATGTGAAGGGAAGACTCACAGATGAGCTCCAACCGTCTCTTTGGCAGCCAGGTGATGGAGATACGCTCGCGTAATCCCCAAGCCGCCTTGTTCTCTGGGCCGGCAACAAGAACAGCTGCACCCTTCTTGTATGGGTCGGAAGTCCTCGGCAAACGACTTATGGCGTAGGTTCAGGTTGCCGGAAGGAACCACGGCATTTCCGAATCGCTATCAATGGTCAGTCGGGACTTGGGTTCAAACGGATTCCGTGGGGTTATCCTTACAGCTGTTCTCGTCGGCCACACACAATCGAACATGTCCGCACCGAGGGCAACTGCTACAACCAGATCTTCCGGATAACCCTGAGCAGTGTCAATAAAACGGACTGCACTCCAGAGGGGTGGAAGCTGACACTCACCACTCCCATCACATATCTGGGCTTGTGCTCTGGAAGGAGTCCAGTGCACGTATCCACCCTATAACTGTCAGCCGAACATAGTCCGTACGTATTTACGTCAACACATACACTTTACAAAACTCCTCCTTTGCCTCACCACCTGATAGACCTCCAATGGCAATACCCGGTGTATCTCGCGCAACCATCTCGGCGCAGCACTGCTTCCGTAGCTCCAGGTCTAGGCCGCCTTGAATGATACAGAATAGGTTCTGTCTCTCGGGATACTTGTGCGCCTCGATACAGCGGTCTAACCACCGAACGGACCGTTCCATAGCCTCGTGAATCCTGGCATGATCGGGAGAGGTAGTTGCAATGACGTCGTCTAGCTGCATGATGATATCCGAGCCGATCGAGTTCTGCAAAGAAATCGAATGCTCTGGTGTGAGTAGCCTAGAATGACCCTGGTTAGCGCGATTTGTTGAGACTTCGAATCGGCAAGGACACACACATCGGGGTTCCATCGTGGGGACTGAGGAATCGGACACCTTCCTCGGTGACCTTTGCGAGCTTCAGTAGAGAAACCATCTGAAAACTACATATTGCAAGTGTCAGTGTTAGGCCGAGGAAAACATCGACATAGCTCACCCGCCGCTATCTGTTAGGATATTCCGATCCCATCCTTGCAGCTTATGCGCCCCGCCCACTTTATCTAGCACCTCCTGCCCCGGTTTCAGGCCCAGATGGTATGTATTATTCAAGCAAAGCATGCAGCCAGTCTGCTTCAGCTGGTCATATGTAAGTCCCTTGAGGGACGCCTGTGTCGCAACCGGCATAAAGATGGGAAGCGGCACGGAGCCATGAGGGAGATGGAGGGTGCTAGCGCGCGCTTTGGTTGTCTACGTTTGGCTCATGATTAGATCAAAATCGAGCATACCGGAAAAGTCAACTGGGTAAGAGAACATACTGAGCACTTTTTATGCAGATCGAAAGTCAATGCCGATGGCATCTTTCTGCGCGGAGGGGTAGCTTCTGTTGACATGTTCGCAATCTGGGAGGTGCGCAAGGCTGGATTGGGGTATAATTTTGACGCAACACAACCGTCTAGAGCTCTTAAAATGTTATGAGAGAAATGAATGCTTGAATAATATGCAGGACATTTCATTGAGAGAGAAAGGGTAGATAATTGACGCACAACAGCAGAGAAATGCAACAAAATCACGAATCAATCATTATCGATAAAGATTGGCGCTAACCCAACTGGGCAAACTCCGAAGCTTTCCCCTTGACCAATCAGATTGATCCTTACTTTCTCACATACCTCTCTGTTCGGAAAGATACAGTGGGATTTTATATTATGCTTTCTCACCCAGAGTCCAAAGATAGTAGAATTGACGGGGAAACCATTCGGATTTTCTTCATGATGCGCCAACTCGAGAGCTATGCTTGTCCAAGATCGTCTGCTGCACTATGAGATGTCAAACCCTCCGGCGCCAACTGGTGAGTCTGTGCAACTGACAAGGTCCAAATCATCCTTATAGAGGAGAAAGAGAAAAGCCTGATAAACAAAGCGGCTGAGAGTGGCCTTTAGTGATCTAGGTTGTGTATCCCAGATGATCTTGAAAAAGGACCCCTGACGCGGCCCAATTGACCACACTCTTCAAGCGAGCCGAGCCAGTACCAACGGCAATAATCTGCAGTCTTCATAGTGATCACCTGGGCTGTCAGGACGGATTGCGAAGAACAGTTTCGTCCCAGCAGAAGGATCATAGCTCCCAAATTCAGTTACAATGCTAGGCTAACACTTCATCTTCCTTTCGTGGCTGCAATGATGTCCGTTCTGTTCAACGGCAATGCCGATACACACCTGCCGATCCAAGGCCTTTTCGGTAATGACAGCAACCAATCACTGACACTGTATCTACTACCTGCCTAAATGGTGGTTAACCATCTTCGGTGATGACCGTCGGAGGTTCACCGACATCGTGGAATCACATTTTCTTCAGAACGGGGTTACCCCAGTCAGCGGAGCCCGCTTGTGCGGGGGAGCTCCAACAGGCGCTGACAGACCCAAGCCTATAAATATGCTCAAAAGAAGAATTGCTTCTCAAAAGCTTGTTCATTTCAACCCGCGGCTTTTTGTTGTCTACCCGCGAAAATGAGCGAGCCGAAGCCCCACTCCAGCGTGGAAGATGCTCGCGATGTTGAGATCGCGTCTGATGTATGCGGAGTGGAATACGAATTCGAATTGTAGCTGTCATTGCTAACTGTTCACCACAAGGACTTTGACGAGCAGCATTTTGATGCATCATACCGCAGCCCTCAGGAGAAAGCACTGGTCTGGAAACAAGACTTGCACATTGTTCCTCTATGTGCTGCCATCTATCTTCTCTGCTATCTAGATAGATCTAACATTGGTAAGCATGGAACCAACTCTTGCCCGGACAGTCCTCATCCTGCTCGGCATAGGAAATGCAAAAATCCTCAACCAAGATACGCACAATGACCTCCTGTCCGAGACTAAGATGACCTCGTATCAATACACGTATGTTCTGCCCGAATAGTTGACGCTAAACCGTAGGTACTGACATGTGCTAGGATTGCGCTTATGGTGTTCCTCATTGCTTATGCGCTGTTCGAAGTCCCTTCCAATTACTTTTTGAAAAAGCTTAGGCCGAGTGTATGCCATGCGAATCTTACATTCGAAACCAGAAACTTATGAAATCTAGAGATGGGTCGCCTTTCTGATGCTGTCATGGGGCGCGTGCACAATGGGCTTGGGAGGAACCCATAACTTCGCTCAGGTCACCGGCCTCCGTTTCCTTCTAGGAGGTATACCCTTCCTCTCAAGACCAGGGACTTAGTTCAGGAAATGACTGACAGCCTTTAGTAATGGAAGCAGGACTCTTCCCTGGCCTGGTCTACTACCTGACCTTCTGGTACCGACACTCCGAGCGCTCCATGCGTGTGGCCTTGATTCTCGCATCCGCTACCTTAGCCGGCGCCTTTGGCGGTGCAATCGCATACGGCGTGGGCCACATCAATCAGGTCCATGCACTATCTGCATGGCGATGGCTATTCATCATCGAGGGAGCACCCTCGTGCGCTTCAGCCGTTCTAGTCTGGTTTTTTCTACCAGATTATCCCGAATCAGCTCGTTGGCTCACGCAAGAAGAGAGAGACCTCGCCGCTCAAAGGCTGCGAACCGAAGGCTCCCAGGGCGAAGCCAAAGCCATGACTTGGGAGGATGCCAAAGCTGTGCTAACAGACTGGCGTCTCTACGCTCACTATGCCGTCCGTTGCCTGTTGTTAGCGTGCTACTGTTCCCACAACTAATCTTCTCAACAGGTCTACTTCGGCATATCCGCCCCCTTTTCCAGTCTTTCTCTCTTCACGCCCGCAATCACCAGCGGGCTCGGGTATACGAACCTACGCGCGCAGCTCATGACAGTGCCCCATGGGCGGTAGCCTATGTCGTGACAACAGCCGCAGCCTGGTCCGCAGATCATTTCAACAGGTACGAGTCCTCGCCTCAGCACTATTCCTCACAACGCACACTAACAATCTACCACCAGTCGTGGCCTGCATTCCGCCCTCTTCTCCTTCATCGGTGCCATGGGCTTCCTAGCATCCGCCGTACTCCCAGCAGACGCTTACTTAGTACCTCTCCCCCGACCCTTCCCTCCGCGGACCCTACAACAAAACCCACTAACATCAGTCAATTAGCACCGCTACGGCTGCCTCATCGTCGCCACCAGCGGCGCCTTCGCCTGCATCCCCCGCTCCTGGGCTGGCTCTCCTCCAACCTCCGCTCCACAGCCGGCACGGGGCTAGCAATAGCTCTGAACGTGTCCTTCGGCGCTCCGGGCCAAATCGTCGGCGTGTGGATTTACAAAGCCAAAGAAGCGAAGAGGGGATACCCGACGGGTCACTGGACCAATGCTGGGTTACTCCTGTTTGTTTGTGCGGGGTGCATCATGCTGCGATGCTATTACGGGTGGTTGAACCGCAGAGACAGAGCAAGCGGGAAAAGATTTGCTTATTGATGGAAGTCGGAACTGGGTTCATAATGAATCTTATTTCCCCCTTGATTTTTTTTCCCAGACAGTTTTGGCGAAAATCTCATCTGCGACCTTGTAATCAATCGAACGCCACACGGAGTTGAAGAGACAAAATAAACCCGTAGTGTTGACCGTTGCCGAGGCTGGCGATGACCAGTTGGCGCACAAGCAGAGTAGGCTTATCCGGTCAGCACGTGAACGCCGAACACTCAGCCGGAGAATTTAAGGTTAAGCTCAAGATGTGACATGGTGCAACCAAGGATACGGAACGCTGTACCCGTACTTTATTTGACACCGCGATTTCCAGCTGGACAACGAACCCACACAATTAGTGCATGAAATAGCCCTTCTAGAGCAGTCACCAAGTCCCAACAGACCTGAAAGTTCAAGAAGGTGGGGCAACCCAGGGACACAAAGTGGGTGGGAAAAACGGTAAAAGGGAGTCCTACTGTCTACTTTGATGGCCCAGAACTGCACGTGGCAGAGAAACGGGACCATTCTTCCTAGATGGTCGATTCGCACGAGCAAGAATTGGAATCTCTGTCCGGTTTGGTACCGGTGGGATCCAGTTCGGCTAGACCCGCGTACACAAGGAGCAAATGGCAGGACCTGTCTAGGTATGACTGTCACAAGAAACATACACAGGCGCTGGGATCGCCAAAAAGGTCAAAGAGTTTGACATCAAGAATCCAAAATGCACGCAATGAAACCAAATTCGAGTATCGGGATTGTCCGTCACTGTTCTGTCGTCATAATATCGTAGCAAGGTCTCGGTTGTGCGAGTGCCTTGCGAAACTGGAAGGAAATAGAGGAGAATTGTACAGAAGGTCGAGAAGTCGAACAAAAGAGCATAACCGGGCCGCTTGTAATAGAGAGTGTAAAACAAAAAGAGCCGAGCAAATATGGCAGGTGCTGGTGTTCTGTAGTCCTGTAGAAAGAAGTTGCGGCGAGCGGCAACCGGGGAATGTTCGTTTTCCGATTGTCCACCCACTCCAGCACCGTAGTCATCGATGTGTTCCAGTGCTTGTTGCAGGATATTGCACAAAGAGGGATGTCGACAGCCGAGAATGTTGTACATAACGTCTGCGGAACCCGAAGAGTCGGGCATCAAGTCGTCGTACGCGGCCATAGGGGCCACAAAGGAAAAAAGGGAAAAAAAAAGGATGAGGGGAGAAAGACAAGTAATCGGTCCAGCCCAAGCAAAGCAGACAGAGAAATGAAAGCAGTTCTCAACTGTGTCGAGCCCATTGAATCCCATCCCATCGTATCATAACCATATTTCCGTATTTGCTGGCCTGCTACGGCCACACCTTTCCGGGAAGAGCTTCGCTGCCAGCTTGAGGTTGCTGTTGGTAGGTCAGGAGCGTGAGAGCTACCTCTGCAGCGTCGTGTTTGGCGTTAATGGTGAAGTTCCCATCGTACCAGTACCGCGCAGAATATGCTCTACCTTGTACCTTCACGCTGGAGCTCCAAGCTGTCCGACCTCCTGTTTGAAGACATAAAGCCGTTAGCACTTGGTACAACAAGCTGTCAGGTCTAAAAGTCGGTGAAGGAAAAAGTTACTCCACAATCATGATGCCGCGACACAAAGGACACCATTCAGTTCACCTAAGGGTAGATTTCCAGGAAGAGGAACGGACGGAGAAGGTGCAACACAAAGGAAGAATATACTCTCAATCAGGATCTGTGAAAGGGGAAGAAAAAAGAATGGGGAGGAGCGAAGGGTTCAGTTACCTCGACGATCGGAGAACAATGTGTACACCGGGGTTCCAAGGCCAGCAGTTTTGCAATGCTCTGTACGAAGATACAGTCTGGAATTAGTCCCACGAATGATAAACCCATACGGCACATCGACGATTCCTTCAAGAAAATTGTAGTTCAAGTGGGGCATACTCTCAAGTTTCTCTATCCATTCAGACTTCCGACCACCATTTCCTTGAGTCGAGGCCATGTTGAAGTGGTTTGCTTGTCCAAAATATAATATAAATGTCCGCGGTACCGTGGTCCCTTACCAGCCACAATAACGAGGGCTGAAATTGAAGAAGACTAAAGGGTAAAGAAGATTTGAGTATATCAAGAGCCAACGACCCCTCCGCAGAACTTTTGCCCAAGAAGAGGCAAGCAAGTGCCAACTGGAATGCGGACGGTTTCTGGAAGGTGAAAATGAATAAAAAAAAGGAGATCCTCAAGGAACAGGATGAATCGAGCCAAGAGTTTTTTGTGTTCGCTTTTGACAAGACAATAATACCTCTTTTGAATTTTCTCTTTCCCACTCAAATAGCCCTGATGGACATGGGAAGCGGGGGGTCATATAAACTGTGGGCCATGCTTGACCCCAAATCGTTTTTTTTTTATTTCCCTGTGCAAGCAAGACGGTTTTGGCGTGACAAACACGGAGCCTAACCATGAAACCTAACAGTCGGGCTTATGCATGTCGCTGGGGACAAGCTACAGCGCCAGCAAATTCTCCCCCTCCCTGGTCCTCCAGTCAAAAGGCCGCCAGTTGCATGGAGAACATGCGGATCATTTTGAGGCTGCAATGCTGGAACGGCCCGGCGCACGCCGACTGAGAATGCACCCTGAAGAAACGCCAATTACCAAGAAAAAGGTGCGACGGAGCTCCACCGAGAACCAGATCCATTTGATGGCAAGGATCGAATGGCGCAGAGGTAAAAGGAACTGCTGTCGTACAAGGAAGCTAGTTCACAGATCCGAAGCCTTGAACAACAGACATCTCATCTCCTTTCTCTTGCCTTGACACATCCTCTCTCCCCTTTCCTTCTGCTGATTCCAGCAAACATTGCTTCTTATCGGGTATGAAGAATCTAGACGCCTCATGGACGCTTCTCCAAGGACAAGAAAGGCGGAAGCCCCTCCCCTCCTTCTGGAATGACCACATAGTGGAGGGGTGTGGTCTAGTTGCCCAAAAGCGGAGAGGGGCCCCATAGGAGCAGAAGCGACGAATTGAAGTCAGGATTTTCTCACACCAGCCAGTAAGGCCCCTGTAAAGATCGAAAGCGGGCCCAGAGACCACAATGCCAGCTCATCAATGATTCAATTATGAATCTGGACCGAGGACTTTTAGTAACACATCGTTCCTGTCAGCCCTGGGAAACGAATGGTCAAAAAACCAGGCCGCTCTGCATGAACAGATGCCATGGGGACATGGGGTTGCAGACAGGTAGGAAGCGACAGCAAGCAGAAGAAGACAAGGGTGCTGGAGATATCCCGGCAGGAACCTCAACCCAAAAAGGCAACACCAGATGAAACAACCAGCTCGCGCGGTTAAAGCAAACCTTTTGCATGGAACACAGCTTTGCCAGCGAAGAGAGACGTCTATTAGGCTCAAAGTTGACCCAAACCGTCTGCCGAAAAGGAACCATCATGATTCGTTGCTTTCTTCTGGCACTGTGTTGGGCATACATACGTGCGTCTTCATGTTGTTCATCGCCGTCATCTACAGAACAACAGTAAATGACAGTGATAGCTAGAGACGAAGCGATGTGGACGGAAAAGTGTCGCGGACCACAGAGTTATAGATCACCTGCATCAGACGCTATATGCCATCATCTATCATAGCACCGGGGAAAGTTGAATCGTTTCCACACGAGCTCATTGAAAGCCCATTAAGCCGTTTGATTCGAGGGAATAAAAAGGGACATTTGACGAGCCTCGATCTGCCCCGCAGCGCCCGCAGGACAAGCTTAATTGGTATCTGGTCATAGCTGGAAGAGCTCTCGGCTGTTATCTTGAGCATTGTTACCAATAGAGGCAAGGCACGAACGGGCAAATGGGAAAAGAAATGTGAAATGAAGAAAAAAAGGCTTCCTTTGAGTTGCGGGATGAAATCTGGTCCAATCATTCCAGCCTTCCGTAGAAGTAAGTACCCTTACCAGGCCAGGTACCTTACATTGTCAAGGTAGGTAGGTAGTAAGGTGAAGATGGTGAGTTCTCGGAACATCAAACCCAGGATTTCCTTCCTGTTTCCTCCCCTCCTTCCCCCTTTTTCATCTGGCTTCATTTCCACTCGTTCTAAGCATATCATTCGCGCTTCGTCTTGATCTTAAGCGCTGGACTGGCCCACCAGGGGGTCGCTAGTGAGGCAGTCGGCTACCATGAACCATGGTTCCTGTACGTTGCTAATGACTCGGTTCAACACGAAATAATCGAAGATCTTTTATGCACCCATCATTTCCCTATCACGCTTCAGACAGACTATGGAAGCGCTATCCCAAAAATAACCATGCAATCATATACACGTTATCATACTTCCAAAAAAAGAAATGAAAGCAGGTCATCCGACCCAGAGACGACCGACAAGTGTCAACGCAGCGAACTAGAGGCCACAGAGTTCCTGTTACACATTCGAGACACAACAACAACAACAACAATAACAACAACTAACAAGCAAGTCTAGCTGGGATCCTCGTCACTAGCGAACCAGATACACGGACATGCACGGGATCCAGCCTGAAAATGGCTGTCCGAAAATCAGGCATCATTATCCAGATTCACCAATGTTGTGAAATTCTGGTAGATGGGTTCGCGCCACTGCACCTCGACATCACGATAGCAGTGCTCGCTAACGTACGAGTCAGACCGCCGTGGCGACGAATTGGCCCAACATCCTTCGCGCGTCGTCATTATATCCACTAGAATCAGGCGGATCCCCGCCGGTGAAACACTTCTTCAATAAGTCGCATAGGCCCCATCAACTCAATGCTTTTTGTGAAAGAGGATTTAGCCGGATGGCTGAAGTCCGTATGACGTTTCGAGTGCCATCGCTGTCGGATACAGTCATCAACTAGAACACTCAATCCTGTGGCTACGATCACACTGCGAGACGATCAGTATCGTATCCATGTGAGGTGGAATTTGTTCTTGTCCTTGGGAGGGGAGGGGGGCCCAGCTTACTCGGCAACCTCATGCATTTTCTCGTACACCGATGAATCGCTGATCCACATCGAGGACGGGCGAACCCAACCACCCTTGCTCTCCTCCTCGACAGCTTCCACTGGTGTGAGGATTTCGGGCACAATGTGGGCAATCGTCTTGGACGTCCGCGTGTTGATGAGGTGGTAGGACACTTCCCGCAAATCTCCTTCTTTCCTGCACTCTTTCTTCCATTGGTATTTCGTGGACCAATACTCAAACTCGTACCGCTTGCGTATCCCTGCGCCTCGCCTCTTGACCTCTACATGCGCATAATTAGAGAACTCTAACACCGTTGTATCTGCGAAAGCGACTGGGCGACTGGGACACTCCTTGGCATCTGCTGTTGCATCATCCAAATTCGCATCTTCCTGCTTGATCGAGTGATATCCCGAGTCGTGGCGCTTATGTTCGGCGCCAGCTATCGATCCATTCCCACTCGACCCAGGCCGCAAGCTTGCCAACACACTGCTCCAGGAGCGCCGAAGAATGGGCCTCTTGTCGATGCTGCACGATCTGGGCCTCCTTTCTGAGCGACAGATCTCACGACCGGACTCCCGACAGTAGCGCCGAAATGAGAACTTTCTCAAGAACAAGTCATACATGCGGAGATGAAAGAGGATTACATCTTGTTGATAGCCACCCCTTTGCGGCACTAGAGTGTCGACCCGTAGATTCATATTACCATCTAGTGTCGAATCATCGTGCCGAATCAGCAGCCGTCGGGATGAGGGGAATAGCTCTGCAAAGGTGGTTGGGTTGGAAGGGATCGCGTCAGTAGCATAGATCTCCGGCTTTCGGTCGATAACCTCGTATTGCGGGTCTTCTGGTAACTCGTCGGTCGAGGGTATCGTGGATGCATACGTTGATGTAGAGTCTCTAGGATCCATAGTGAAGCGATCCGTTTCTGGAGGTCGCTTAGATGTGGGCCGATAGCTGTAGATCGTAGGGGCCGTGCTTTTCGACCTATCCGAGGCTTCGCTGTCGGTCGAACTAGAGCTGCTCCCTGTTCGGGCACAACGATCTTGACACGATGAAGAAGTGTAAGACTCCATGATGTCTTTGAATGCGATAGTGCGAAAAAAGATGCGTCGGGGTTCTGCAATGTCAGTCCCGGCAAGCGAAGTGCAGCAGAGGTGTTCTTGTTCACAAGCCTCCGTAAAACAGGCAGGTATCAAAGGTACCAGATAATATTAACCCAAAAAAGAAAAAAAAAAAAAAAGGGACGATGGTACACAAAGTAGGTGGGGTTAGAATATATATAAATAATTGTTATGCAAATCAGATCACAATATCCTTTCACTTCTTATGGAACAGTCGCCCAGCCCAGGTTTTCGTGTATGACACAGCATCCAGTCGGATACGCTCATGAGGTGAGATGAGGTGAGGTGAGATGAGGCGAGGCAAGAAAATCCCAGCAGCTGGAACCAGACGAAAAGTAAGGATACTTCAGTCATACGATGGGGTGTTCAGATGCAATGCCTTTTTCGCGTCTAAAGGGCTTAGAGAGTATGTTATAGGGCACGATCCCGAGGGATAGAGGGGCTTAAGGGAATGTGAAGGGAGGCCCGAGGGAGCGGTAGATAGCAGATGACGCCAGGAGTATTGGGAAGGGAGGCAGGTCAGCAGCCCGAACAAGGACAGTAACTGGTAGCATTGGCGGAAGAGGAGAAGGAGAAAGCACTAGCTGGTAACAGTAATATCCAGGGATTGGATAATCCAAGATCAGGAGAATAGATCAGGATAATCCAGCGTGGCGCAGGACTGTTTTGGCGGTATCTAGGTAATAGTCGTGGTGCCAGGTTGTGTTGGAGGGCAACGCGGGAGAATGAGAGGAACGCATCAAGGAATGAACAGCAATGATGGAGAAGAAGGGAGCCACGTCAATCCAGTCCGGTCAACGTTTATGGCTCGGCTTCGAGGCGTTCATAATTCGGTCCCATTTGTGATATTGCTGTGATCTCCTGTCGCGGGGTGATTACTTCGGAAGAGAAAAAACAGACTTGAAATATTTCATTCGTTCGTCAACCCCACGACAGTATGGGGGCCCAAATCCAATCTATTTATGTGATGCTCGAGGCTCAGCCATCTGATCCTTCAAAGTACAGCCTCGATCGATGCTCCTTTTAGGGTTTATTTAGGTTTTATTTGGTCGATGAAGCCGAAGGTTATTGCGACGGGGCTATTCTACAGCTATGTCTTACTGTGAGTGCCTAATAACAGCATCGTCAGCCCAAGAAAATAACGACATCATCGCTAGAAGCAGCCTGACAATGAATACGACCTCTACATCCGAGGGAGGAGGAGGCCTCGAACATCCTCTCAGCTTTCATTCGCGCCTTACTTTCAGTGACTGCGACCGTTTGGTTTCTGGAAGCGACCATGAAAGAGGTGTGAGCGCTCAGGCTGACCAGCAGACGCTAGACCATCCCCCAATAGGAAGATGAAACCCGAAGATTAAGCCGATAAAGGCCGTCGTCAAGTGCCCTGATGCCTTGCAAATCAATGCAAATACGATATTCTCCGACCAGCCACAACGCATGAACCAGGAGGATGGAAGCGGGCCAACTCGGAAACCGATTCTACATCCCACGCCTCGGAGAGTTGCCTGATTCGAATCCTGCTACAACGTGGTAAGGTTTATTTGATTGGGAGAGAATCTTTACCACTGGACTTGAGCGACATGTCACATGCTCAGTGATAATCTCTACGCTCGTCACTTCTCTCCGACTACTCTTTATCTTCCTCGATAGATTTCTAATTAGTAGCGCGTTCTAACGATCATGGCGCCAGGACTAATGCTTTTCTTTACCATGGAACCGACTGGGGGCCTTCGGATCGGACCGAAATTAGAGAGTATGAGGACGACGGTCAACGCTCTCGTTTCTTCAGAACACGGACCAAGTCTTCTAAAGCCCTGAAAGAAAATGTCAACTGGAAGCGTTCATTAGATCGCGATCTTGGAAACTCCTCGAGTCTACGACTGATCGCTCATAACTCCGGTATCGGTATTCCTCCTCCTCGTAGAAGACTGCTCACGAGTCAGCCTAAATTCATGCGGTTTGTTACTTGTAACTTGTGTATCATCGCGCAGCCCCGAGCACGGAGCACTCATTTAGCGGAGCGAACTACGGAATGTGGAAGCTGATCTCCACTACTGATGGGGTCTGCAAAGCCACTATCTGATGGATCTTACCTTGGGTTCTTTCAGGGACAATATCAATTGGCTAGCAGATCAAGAATTACTCCATGAGAGAGATCATCACTATGATAAACCATACTAAGATACAGTAAAGTCGTGCCCATAATGGTCCTTTGACTGTATGCGTAAAATGCATTGACATTTCCCAAGGCATCTATGCATCCTTAGTTCGGCCCATGATCCATCCCACTGCCACCTGGCAGTCTTTGTGGCTTATGCAACGGTACAGAGTGCCGGTGCGCCGAACTACCAAGGAATTTGGTCAACATCCAAAGTACATACCTGCTATCTATCTACATCATATCATGCCATCTTGTTTGGCGGCTAATGGCAGATTTAGCTGAAAACTCGGTAATCAACGAAGGGTCTAGTTGGAGCCCAGAGATCCGGGAAACCTTGCAACTGCTTTCTGTTTCTGGTAAAGCCGTCCTAGTGGATAAGGTATACAAACGTTGTACGGGACTTGTTTCATGCCAACGCAGTTCAATTCGACGAGATAATCCCTCAAGAGCACTAGATATTCAGTATACATGGAAAAGAGTAATGTCCATCCCAGATCCACTCTGTTAAGTCGTAAAGTCGCCACACAGACAGCCGCCCTCGCGGCATTCAATGACCCACAAAATGCAACAAAACGCACCATGACCACATACCATGCCAATGGCACCATCCATGATGAAACCGAAGGGAAAAGGAAGCAAGAGAGAAGAAGCAAGAGAGAAAACGCAAATCCCCCGCACTAGTACCTCTCCAGGCATTCATCAGGTCATCAAACCTACCGTGGACTTGGAGCAAGGAGTAGTCCCGTCGATCTGATCGACGCCAATAGAGTTATTGAGTCATGCAGACTCATGTAGATATGCCATCATAAATTAGGATTACTCGAATGGTTTGTGCCATGGATGTCAGTAAGGTAGGCACGGGTGTTTCTGAAGGTATCACCATGCTGACCTGTCTACTTACAACTCGCAGTCCATAACTTGTTCGTACGTTGAGCAGTACATCAGTCAGGCATGAGGCTGCATCAGACGTCGTACAGCAAGGGGGTATCCAAGGTTCTCGTGTTAATCTACCGGTTGCTCGCTCTCTGCAAGTTAGATCTGGCCCTGTGAACTTGATTGAACGCTGCCTAGTCAGTGCAGACAGGAGAGGTCTGCCACTGCATTTTCTTGTCCAAAGTCTGTGAGCGAAGACTAAATGGGATCTTCGAATGTTAAGAAAGGGATGCGGATGCCTCGCACGGTGGAGCGTTTGCAGAAAATCTCCTAGTCTATGACGGTTAGACGGCAGCAGCAATACGTCGCACGGACTTGAGTATTCGAAAAGACGGTCAAGCTGAAGGGACGGGCAGATGACGTTGCTTGCGTCGAGCATGATTCCGGTAAGCTGGCGGACATCGTAGCCACCCACATTCATTAAGTCATGGAATATTCTGCGTGCTTCTTTGTCAAGGCAAACAGGATTTGTGGTGAGAGTGTGGTAGGCGACAGTATCAATACAAGTATGACCCGGACGGTCCAGAGAGCAGTCAAGGGAATCATTCCCGTCTGGTTCCTGCGACACAATAAGCGCCAGGCTATATTCGATCAGTTTACTGATTCTATGATTGATAACATCGTGAATGTGTATCATGGTACCATGCACGGCTGACCAATCCGGAGGACCGTGTGTCTTACACTGGCGTTCTACCTTACATCGGACTCACCGAAGTTTGTATATGAGTGTCAAAGGCAGCGTTTCACCAAGCCTCTAATCTAACCCATCTAAACCATATAACGAACCTTATAGACATGAAATGAAATTCACCTACGCTCAGATCTGAGCCCAGAGTGGCTTCGGAAGTTCGTCACCAGGCTTCATCATAGCCCCTTGATGGGAATTTGATGGAACAGACACCTGAGCCGTGAGCCCAGGTCGACTACCTGGCGCCGGCATATGAAACCCAACATAGGCCTCACGGCGGGCAGGTTCCCCCACCGTAATAGACCATGTATGCAGGCCGTAGTAACTCGCAATGGAATGAACGAGCCAGCGACTGACGAAGGTAAGTATAGACCCAGCGGAAGATGGCACCCAAAACTTACCCAAAGCCAGCGGCCCGGTCATCAACCAGGCTCTCGAACACCATCTTCTCACCGTCTCGCTCATTATGTTGGCTTAAAGTCGCGCGCAGTTCTCGCAACCTTGTCTTGTGCTCAGGCGAGTCATGCATCTGTCCATTGCGCCCCACAAAGACAACTTCATCCTCGGATTCGTCCTCGGACGACGATGGTGCATCTTCCAAACCTTCTTTCCGCAGCATCAGCTGCTTCTCGCTCCACGTCTGGATAAACTGTCTAATATCCTCTTCCAAATCCTGGAGCATCCCACGAGCAGCACGTGCATGCTTCAATCTCATGCGGAGTTCCTTGGGAACGCGATGCTTCTCATGCCTCGTACCTTTGGGAGTCTGCTTGGAAGACGTCCGGTCGAGGTGAGCATATTTCACGTCCCAGAGAGGTGCCAGATAGTAAGGCATGGGATCATATCGCGGGTATGTCGGCTGTACCGCCCAGTCACTGGGCGCAGGAGGTTCAACCCAAGGGTTATGCAAGAGACGATCTTTGAGAGAAAGTTCAATCAGCAATGACGCAGAATGAGGGGCGACGCGTCGCACCCTTTGGGGAAAAGGGATGCCTCGAAGATCATGGCATCCACGTCATAAGTCAAGACATACCGTTCTCCCAACGTTGTCTGCGCCGACTCCCGTCCTTTCCTTTGAGGAGCGCTTCCCGTCTCTTCAGACTATCGCGACGAATAGGTTCTCGACGTCTGAATGAAACCGAGGCAACCGGTTGCGTCTCGGACTCACGAGTCACAAGCTTGACTTTGGGTACGGCTCCCGTATGCACCACAGGAACTGGGTCATCCAGAGGAATAGATAGAGGAACCGAGGAGCCGCGCAGAGGGGAATCAGGCGTCGAAATGAATTCAACATTTCTGTCGCTCGCCGATACCGACTCTGACAGAGTCAAATTCCGCAGGGATGCAGCCGCCTGCTCCGACCAAGCTGAGATTGCTCGAGTCTGCTGCGGTGTCAGGCGTCCCTGTGAGTTGGCCTGGGATGGCAGTGTTGGATGGATGGCCATGCTGGAAGACGCGAGCGAGCTATCGATAAGTTCGGATGGATGGAGCCTATTGAGAGTGGCAAGACACCAATCAGGGACAGAATGTATAGAACGCTTTGAGTCTTCTCAATGAATGACCTCTGGATCAACTGAGGAGAGAGGATGAGAGTCAAGTAGGAATGAGGAAACACGAATGGAGCGGGGATGGGGATGAAGAGCGATAAGAAACGTGAGAGCAGATAACCAGTTGTCGCGTCCGAAGCCGAAGATCGCGGGTCGTTACTGAAAGAGGAGTGGTACAAAACTTTTCTCGCCATAGAAATTGGCCTCGGGTTGACTCACGATGGGGCACGGGATACAGAAACACCCATGATTGGTGCTTGGCTATGGATGCCCTAGCCCTGATTGCCGCTTCCAGCATCTGCGATCTGTGATGTTGGCTGCAGGTACCTCTCTTCATCATCTCGTCGATCATGTTAATTCGAATACGAACGGAGTCATGCCAGTCTGATTCAGAACCATGGCGAGTAATGGTCATGTTTCGGAGATAAGCTGGGGCGGCCCGAGTTGAATTTCAATATCATAATATATCTGAGCATAGCTAAATATCCCAGTCACACGATGCTATGATCGAAGGCTTAGTAGTTTCCTTTGCTCTTTCAGTATGTCTACTATGACATATCGCTATCTTACTGGACTGTTATCGTTGATAATTTAGTAGTCGAGCCACCTGGACAATTGTTGCTATGAGTAACATGTCGAAAAAGTCGACCCTGATTCCCTCCGTCAAGGCGGGCCAGGCGCTCATATCCATGCGGGGAAGTTTGTCAGCCTTGTCGCCTGAGGCATGCTGATCTGCGAGCAGAGTGGAGATCATGACTGACACGGGTCGCATTCTCCAATGAGTCACGAACGCAGCATGATTGAAGACTTGAAGCAATATACTCCCTGGTAGATAATGATTTTATGGTGATTTGACACGAGCGCAATGAGCGGTCACCTCAGATGTCAATGTGAGTCAAGACCCACAAATAGACAGAGGGCAAAAGAGCCCTGGATCAAGGGACAGATATTATACAAGCCACGGGACTGACAGGAGAGGTCAAACCATCCCCTCACGGAACCGGACTTGCTTGTTGCTTGTTGCTCGTTGCTACCTTACCTTACTAAGGTAGTTTGCTACCTCTTAAGAACCTGAGGAGTTGATGATTTAGGTTAAAATAATCTTACAATAATAACCAACCACCTAGGTCGACTTAACCAGAGTCCTGGAAATATTAAATCTAATTTAGTCCACTGCAGCGGCTAAGCTACCAACCTCGGCCCTGAAACTGCTCTATCGTTTATTATTTAAGCCAGCCGCCAGCGCTCACCTCTGACGCAACGGAGTCTGTGTCTGGACTTGGCCAGTTGCTCGCGATAACCAGTCCATTATTATCCACCCAATCACCACGTATTCTCCGTTTATTGCGAGACAAAGGAGCTGGACCTTGCACTGCAGTCCCTTTTGACTTGGAAAGGTCCTCAGCATACATCATTCAAACATCCTTTCTCCTGCCTCACCAAAAGCTGTGTTTACACCGTTCGACTTCGAGGCTCACCAAACATCAATTGTATCTTTTACATTGTTATCTGCCTTGTTTTATAAACTGCAGGGGATAAATCCCGTTGATTTACTATGAAAGTACTCGCAGCAATTGCGCTGGGCGCAACAGCTTTCACAGGGGCTGTAGCTGCAGTGATTACTCAAGAAGCATTCTTGAACAACCCTCGCATCCATCATGACCAGGAGAAGTACTTGATCGAATTGGCCCCTTATCGAACACGATGGGTGACTGAAGAGGAGAAATGGGCATTGAAATTGGTACCATACTTCCCCAAACCCTGAATAACCAACTCCACGGGTGACTAACTGCACGATTGCATCTAGGACGGCGTGAATTTTATCGATATCACAGAAGAGCACAACACCGGTTTTTACCCGACTCTCCACAGCGGCAGCTATGTCAAATATCCGGCGAAGATGCAGTATGCTGAAGAAGTGGTTGCGCTTAACAAGAACTTATTGAAAGAAAACATGAAGGCCAACCTGGAACGATTCACATCATTTCATACTCGCTATTACAAATCTCAGACGGGAATTCAATCAGCAACATGGCTGTACGACCAAGTCCAGAGAGTTGTCTCCGAGTCGGGAGCCGCTAAGTATGGTGCAACTGTTGAGCGATTCTCTCATCCATGGGGTCAGTTCAGCATTATTGCCCGAATTCCCGGCCGAACGAACAAGACTGTGGTGCTGGGCGCCCATCAGGACAGCATCAATTTGTTTCTCCCTTCAATCCTGGCTGCTCCCGGTGCTGATGACGATGGGAGTGGAACTGTCACCATTCTCGAAGCGTTGCGCGGTCTGCTGCAGTCAGACGCAATTGCCAAGGGTAATGCATCCAATACTGTCGAGTTCCACTGGTACTCTGCAGAAGAAGGCGGAATGCTGGGCTCCCAGGCAATCTTCTCCAGTTACAAGCGGGATAGGCGGGAAATCAAGGCCATGCTCCAGCAAGACATGACTGGCTACATCCAGGGAGCTCTGAACGCGGGTGTCGAGGAAGCCATAGGAATTATGGTCGATTATGTCGACCAGGGCCTCACACAGTTTCTCAAGAACGTTGTTACAGCGGTAAGCCTCAGTTGTCCCGCACGGAAAGCTGTTTAATCGACAAATGAAACTGACGAGCTGCATTAGTACTGTTCTGTGGGTTACCTGGAGACGAAGTGCGGATATGCCTGCTCCGACCACACCTCGGCCAGTAAATACGGCTATCCCGCGGCTATGGCGACTGAAGCAGAGATGGAAAATACCAATAAGAAGATACATACTACCGACGACCAGATCAAGTATCTGAGCTTCGATCATATGTTGGAGCATGCCAAGTTGACTCTCGGCTTCGCTTTCGAATTGGCATTTGCGCCGTTCTAATTCCTCTCATACTCTACTCCAGATGAGAGGAATGATTCGAAAATGCTTGTTTTACTTGGATCACAAGGCGTTCAATGGTTTGGGTCATGGTTTGATTGGGACAACTTGCCATTCATGAGGTACTTCCTGTAGGCTGGTCACTCACAGACTGATTATACCGTTATACAAGTCTCATGGCATATCTATATACACGATGACAATGCGTCAACTCGTTTCCCGTCTTTCACGAATTACCGGAGTCCGAGTAGAACCGTAGAAGCTAACTGTCACGTGACAGTTGCGGATATCGTCGATAGGACCTTGATCGCCAAATATGATTGACTTAGAAGACAGCGGTGAGTCAAAAAGGTCCAGTCACAAGTTTCTGTAGTTTTCTCTTGCCGTGAATTTTCGGGATAGAACGTCATTTTCGATTGATTGTCCGTCACACTGCTATGGAACAGTCCAATCGCCCACTGAGCATCGAATGAATATTTAATTCATTTATGAGGTCATCGAGGCACCCGCCTAGTATCAAGATCGCGTCCATTACAATTGCCAAGCAATTGTCTACAGCTCCTAGGGCTACTTTCTGAGAAATCTCTGGTGTGATTCTATCTCAATTGCCAGAGACAAGTGAAGCTCTTGAAACCCCAGTTGACTGTCCTGCTTCGCTCTCCAGTTGGTCTAGGTCTTTCCATCCTTGATCACCTTCCTGATTTAGAGCAAAGTCGAATCTAGGAGAAACAGAGACAACTTTCACTTTGAAACTCCATTGTTTCCCCCTTGGAAGCTCAACTGTGGAAGAGGATCATATTTATCCTCGTTTTCTCTCTCTACATTGATATCATTTCTGTCATCATCATTGGCGACTCGCATATTTGCCTCAGGTAGAATTTCGAACTGAACGACAAGCTCTGCTTGTCTGAATTCTGCATAATGGATCCCAGTAGTCCTTATTCCAAGGAACTACGACTTGCATGCCTCACGGTGCAACGGGCTGCACTATTGACGAAGAGATTGCTCGAGGCTGTCGACAAAGGATCCCTCGACAAGAGTGATTCCACGCCTGTGACCATCGCCGACTTTGCTGCTCAAGCACTTATCATTGGCGCTATCCACAAAGCCTTTCCTGAAGATGAATTTGTGGGTGAGGAGGACTCAAAGGCTCTCCGTGCAGATCCAGAACTTCTTGAGCGCACGTGGGAACTCGCCTCTACCACTCACCTCGATGACAAGGACAGTGCAGCCCTTCTCTACGCTCCCAAATCCAAGGAGGAAATGCTTGACTTGATTGATCTTGGAGCTCGTGGCAAATGTAGCCTGGAGAGTCGTGCCTGGGTTCTGGATCCTGTAGATGGCACTGCGACTTTCATCCAGGGCCAGCAGTATGCGGTGTGCCTGGCACTGGTGGAGAATGGATGCCAGAAGGTCGGCGTGTTGGGTTGCCCGAATCTCAATCTTGCTACGGGCCGTCTTCGAGAGGATGTTGTGGATCGAGATGGCTACGGGTCTCAAGTCTTTGCAGTTGCTGGTCAAGGTGCCTGGATACGGAAGATGGGGCGCGGAGGTCTGCTCGCTGCTGAGAGTATCGCTCAGAGGCCACAGATTACAGACCCGAAGGACCTCGATTTCGTGGACTGTGGGTCTGCCACATCATCTAATACTTCCTTGCATGCTCGAGTGGCAGCGAAACTGGGTGCTCCGTGGCCGTACAGCACTGATCTCTGGGCTGCACAGTTGCGCTACATAGCCATCGCGGTAGGAGGCTGCAACGCTTTGATCAAGATCCCCCGTAAGGCATCTTATCGGTCTAAGATCTGGGATCATGCAGGCGGCATGTTGATTGCCGAGGAAGTCGGCGTTAAGGTCACTGACCTTGCAGGAAATCCTGTCGACTGCAGCTTGGGCCGAACACTAGCTGGATGCTACGGGATGATCGTGGCTCCTCCTTCCATTCACAGGCGGATCGTTGAAGCCGTAAAGGAGGTCATGCAGGAACAGAGTTAAGTGATCGAGCCATTCGGGACAAAATGTTTTGCATTTTATTTGACTACATTTTGGTTTGGGTTATCGTCATAACGAGATTCTGCTCTCGCTGTGCAGGCTCACAGCGGTTACCAAGATCATCAATATCACCATTATTCAGCGCTAGAGCGTCATTGCGACCAAAGTCTGCATCAGATAGATATGGCGACGCACTGTTTAGAATTTGTCCAATGCAGCATTATTCTTCAGACTATCCTCAGAGACAGCGTTGATCATGGTGTACTGAATTATATTCAGATGGCTTTGCAGTAGTTCGTAGCGACTCAATTACTACTGTTCAAGGGTAAGCGAATTGTACCTACGCGCTGCCTACACTCTATCTAGGCATCGTATGACATGCCCCGTACAGCGCCCGTGCTCTGATCGACCATCTGTGGGTCCTGATCGACAGAAATGACAGAAGGTCTACCAGGGATTAGATCGCTAGAAGTAGAAAGACTTTATGACTTTCCTAGAGAACTTGGAATATGTAAGGGTTATTATTACTACGTAGCACAAAAAATATATAGACTGAAAACGGACGTTTGGGTATCATGTCAATAACCTGGAAGTACCTTACCTCTCCAGTAGTTAACTGCAAGAAAAGTGGCCCTGCGCCGTGGAGTATGAGTGATGTCATCAGTTTCAGCTTCCGTCACTCATCACCATTTTTTCATCGATATTTTCTGGTGGGAAAAAAGACAGTAAAGCAACTCGAGATTGAAAAAAGAAGAATAATTCAGTATCGTCAAAACATGTCTCTCTGGTAAACTCTAGTAAATCAAACCTGGGTTGTTTAAGCACATCTGGTCGTCGTCATAAGAATCAAGAAAGTTCATAGCGAGGGAGGATCAACCTTGTTGGCTGTCCCGGAAGCATCTCGTTGGCCACTCAAAACTGTCAGGAGACCTTATGATGCGGGGGTACTCGTCTCCCTGCACTTCGCTCTCGTAGGCTGAATCATATTTATAAGTATCTTCTCCCTCTTGCACCTCTCTCCTGAATCCAACTCCGAATAAGAGTAATCTTGTGTGTGTATAGTCTGTCCTCTCTCACCTGAAGCAGGCACTATGGCTATCTGTAAGTGTCACCCTCATCGTCATCGTCATCGTCATTGTCATTATTCATATCATCACACGGTCAGGTCAATATTGTCAGCTCGTCCATATACTAATGGTGTAGACAATCCGTTCGCCAGGCGCGAATCCCACGGCCGTTATGCGCTGTCGACGTATCGTGTCCTTATTCCTCTAACATGGCTGCTCGTCGTCATATTTGGCGTCTACTACACTTTGCACTCTCCAGATGATATTAAGCATGGTCGTAAAATCTTCAAGCAGGGACACGTTTACATCACTCCCTTCAGTTTGAACACCGCGATTACTGAGATTTACTGGTATGCTTACCTGGAGCAGCCAACTTTGTCATACTCTACATACTAACTGCACTCCACTGTCAAGGGTTCTTCTGCTCCTCACCCAGCTCAGCTATGTTTACCATCTGTTCTCAAACGATGGCGCCATCGCCAACGCAGCTGCCAACGTCGGATCTCATTTCATCTTGAACAACCTCTTTACCCTCGCCTGGATCCTTTTATGGACTCGCGGCCACTTCTGGGCCTCAGAAATCATGCTGGCCGCAAACTACCTCAACCAGCATGCTGCCTACTGGCGTCACCGGGCCCTGCCGACGTTCGTACATCTATCGGCAATCGCAGGCCCCTACGCCTGGACGCTGATGGCACTTTTCTGGAATGGAGCCGTCGCAGTCGGCAGCAATAGTTTCCCCGCGCGTATTGCCGCCAATATCTTCATCTGGTTGATTTTCGCCTTCGGCTCGACCCACATCATGGCAACCCAGGATGACCTCTTGGGCTACTGTCTGACTTTCTTGACTCTTGGTAAGTCTAGCCTACCTTGTACGGGAGAGACACAGAAAGCTGACTCTTTGCAGCTTTGGCCGTCAAGCAACTGGCAATCAAGGTCATTGCGCTGCAATGGATCTTTGCCTTTGTCATCTTCGCTGTCTTCCTCATCGAGTCGATTTACCTATCTAGCACCAAGTACTCCGGTCGCGACTCGCTATTCCGTAGAATCACGGCGCCTGAGCCTACTGACCGCGAGAGAGAACCTCTGCTCAATAGTGCCGCCAATCCTTAAAGAGGAGCGCTGTCGCTGCTAGCCTCTACAGGACTCGATTTGTACAATTGAGTCCAATACTGAGTTATCGGATTTGACAAATTGGATTGTTATTTCGCAGGAAGTTTCACGTCAGCCTTACCTGCTAATTATTGATATGCACGACGTCCCACGAATGCTTCATGTTCTCTCCCCTCTCAATTTGTTCCTCTACCTTCCAGTCTATTACCCCTTAGTCAAAAGTCCGACAATAACCCAGCTGACTGCCCAGTGCTTATTGAACATCTGCTTGAATTATATGTTTGCTGCGTTGTCCTAGGAGATTGCCTACCTTGGTACTGGTGGGGCACTTTGACAAGTGCGTCCACGGTTCTCGAAGTTTTTATCTTATATCTAGTCTATCTCTCAATCCTTCGGCTCATCTAGTCTAGCTTCAATTTATGCTGAGTTGACCGATCCCTTGGCCCCGCCAAAGTGGGTTATCAATAGTGGTGCGGGTGCGTCACCACATAGCTACGAACTATAAACATCAGGTCAGTAGCTCGGCCATCATCACACCTTTCCGAAGGATAAGTTCATTAGAAATAGGTTATGAGAATCAAGCAATCTTCCCTTAATGCCCTCAAGGTAAAATAAATGATTTTAATATGTCCTCGCTCCTATTCAATGTCTCGGAACATGCAAGGCACAAGGAACGGGATATGCGTCGCCCCGCCGGTTGTCAGCTCCAGCCCGCCCGGTTGCCCTGGAGACAACCCATACGCAACAGAGATGCACTCCACGCTCTCGCATTCCCTTGGGACAGTCAATGTGATACCGTTTTTAGCGCTTAGGTCTGAAAGAAAAAGAGTCAGTGTGTCTGTCTCTGGTTTGGAATCCATATTTTGTTCTTACTCTGAGTGACATTTTCTATGGTATTGGAAGCTATCAGTTTCTCAAGCATACTTGTCAATCCCTCAAACAATTGGTCTCTGTCTTGCTACGAGCTTTTCAACTTGGTTACATTCATTCTATAGCTACCGAAACCGCATTGTTTACGACGGGGTATAGCCGGTCTCATTACCTCTTTTCGCAGTGAGCTACATTCCAGTGCATAAATCCATCATCCATCCCGTCGATCAAGTAAACTGACGATTTCCTCACCATCTAACCAGGACACAACGTGTCGATCCCATTGACGAACTTACCCTGTGTTACCGCTGTGAGGCTGAGATTGTCTCGGTTTCTCGCTTCCCATAGCAAAGAAAGCTACGAGTGTCGGTCTCATCGCAAAGTGTTATGAAGGCGTAAACCAGCAGTCATCCCATTCCGTCTACCATGAGCTCCAACTCATCGCGAATGTATCCGCCCGCGCCAAACTACGAGGAAGAGCCGCCAGCATACGGCAATTATGGAGAGACGGCATCCTTCCTCGCAGATCACGATTCGTCACCCCGTCATCAGGGGGTCACCATGCGCCTGTTACCCAATAGCACTGATGTGGATGACGATCTAAGTGTCGATGTGGAAAGGGGTGCAGGTCATCAGTATGGGATTGAGTACTCTGACAATGGATCGTAAGTAATATCCAGGATTTTCTTCTGCTACAGATCTTGTCTCCCTGGAATGTGTCACGACCTCCCCGCATGCCGAAGACACTTACCGGTATCTGTCTGTTGCCCTTCGTCAGGCTTTTTCCTGCTTTGTATCCCTTGTTTGGACCAGAGTGCAGAGCTCTTTCGTTTGACTGGAACTGTGAATTTGTCTTCTCTCTTTTGAGGAAGAGACTGCATGTTCTATTGTTCTCTGCCCTTCTTTTCCTCATTTGCTACCCTTCCGTGCTACGAGTCGTGTACGCTCAATGACTGCACATGTTTGATACAAGCAGTCTACCTCGAGCGGCTCGAACTTGAGCGCCATCGCTATGATTGACCCGACCCTTCCCAAAATAATTTCACCGAGAAGGCCTAGAGCTAACGTGCAATATATGCCATATAGCGGAAATGCCAACGGAGGATACGATAGATTCTACGCCTATAATGCTGAAGAATCTCCATCACGACCTGCCTCGAGTCTAGGAAATGTCCCATCGATTCCTCCACCAGCCGTTTCCGCGGTCGACGTGCCGCAGTATTCATCGCGTCCTGCTTCTCCCCTCAGACCCTGGTCTCCAGCGCGCGCGGCGGACTGGACAAGGCCGCCCGCTCCACCATCTGTCGCCGGCTCGCAATACGAACGCGCAGATCTAAACGGCAGTCCAAGGCCAGGTACACCCAGCTCCAGATACGGTGGGAGCCCTAGACGCCCCTTGCCACCTGCTCCATTGTTTGCTGGCCCTGGAGCAGCAACCGGGCAAGACACAAGCATCGATATCGGAGATGGCAATGATCCTGAAGATCCGTTTGGAGGTGGAGGAAGGACGATCAACCGACACGAGCACCGTGGAAGCATTCGGTCGTTCATGAGCGAATCGACCATGATCACAGATGAAAAGGACGAGATGGCGAAGATCAACCTCGATGAAGACGATGCCGCCGACGTTGACCCCAACATGCACTATGGTCCGGCCCCAGAGAAGCAAAGTCGTCGAGGAGTTCGAGAGGCCCAGATGTCGAAGAAGGAAGTCCAGCTGATCAACGGTGAACTGATCCTGGAATGTAAAATTCCCACGATTCTGCACAGTTTCTTACCTCGCCGGGATGACCGCGAGTTCACGCACATGCGCTATACAGCCGTTACTTGCGATCCAGACGACTTCACTCAGAGAGGCTATAAACTACGCCAACAGATTGGAAGTACTATGCGCGAAACCGAGTTATTCATCTGTGTGACTATGTACAATGAGGATGAAACCCACTTCACCCGCACCATGCATGGTATTATGCGAAACATCAGCCACTTCTGCTCAAGATCCAAATCGAGAACATGGGGTAAAGACGGATGGAAGAAGATCGTGGTCTGTATTATTGCAGACGGTCGCAAGAAGGTGCATCCAAGGACTCTCAACGCACTGGCAGCATTGGGAGTCTACCAAGAAGGTATCGCCAAGAATATTGTCAACCAGAAGCAGGTCACGGCCCATGTGTACGAATACACGACTCAGGTATCTCTCGACTCAGATCTGAAGTTCAAGGGAGCAGAGAAGGGCATCATGCCCTGTCAAGTGATCTTCTGCCTCAAAGAACACAACCAGAAAAAGTTGAACTCACACCGTTGGTTCTTCAATGCCTTTGGGCGCGCTCTGCAACCGAACATTTGCATCCTTCTGGACGTCGGAACCAAACCCGAGCCCACTGCATTATACCATCTGTGGAAGGCGTTTGACCAAGACTCCAATGTTGCAGGAGCAGCTGGTGAGATCAAGGCCGGCAAGGGCAAGAACATGATGGGCTTGTTGAATCCACTTGTCGCAAGTCAGAACTTTGAGTATAAAATGTCCAACATTTTGGACAAGCCCTTGGAATCTGTTTTTGGATACATCACTGTGCTTCCCGGTGCTCTCAGTGCGTATCGGTTCTTCGCTCTGCAAAACGATGCCGATGGCAACGGGCCGCTTAATCAGTATTTCAAGGGTGAAACGCTGCATGGCAAGGATGCCGATGTCTTCACGGCGAATATGTACCTGGCAGAAGATCGTATCCTGTGCTGGGAATTGGTGGCCAAGAGGGAAGAGAGATGGGTTCTGAAATTTGTCAAAAGCGCTGTCGGTGAAACTGACGTTCCAGGTGAGTGCTGCATTTCGAAATGTAAGGTCAAATTGAAGCTAACCCATGGCCTCCATCAGACACCATACCGGAGTTTATTTCCCAACGACGACGTTGGCTGAACGGTGCTTTCTTTGCTGCGGTATATTCCCTCGTCAATGTTAGACAACTTTGGAAGACCGACCACTCTATTCCACGGAAGATCCTTCTTCAGATCGAGTCGGTCTATCAATTTTTGAACCTGCTCTTTACTTACTTTGGATTGGTATGTAATCTAGTTCCGCTTACTGAACAGGCGCTGACCATCTGCAGGCGAACTTCTACCTGGCTTTCTTTTTTATTGCAGGATCTCTATCAGACGAGAAGATTGACCCATTCGGACACAACATGGGGAAATACATCTTCATTGTCCTGCGGTACGCCTGCGTCTTGGTCATGTGCTTGCAATTCATCATTTCGATGGGTAATCGACCACAGGGGTGAGTGTCCCGACTATCCAGCAATGGAAAAGCGTGTTACTAACATCCCCAAAGAGCAAAGAAGCTTTACTTGTCGGGCATCATTGTCTATAGTATAATCATGGTCTACACCGCGTTCTGCGCTCTCTATCTAGTCGTTCTAGAGCTGATGGCGAAGGCTGGGGTGGGCAAGAAAGACCTTGGTGTCAGTGATTCGCTCTTCATCAATATTGTGGTGTCCCTGCTCTCCACTGTCGGTCTCTACTTCTATTCTTCGTTCCTATATTTGGATCCATGGCATATGTTCACCTCTTCGGCGCAATACTTTGCGCTGTTGCCAAGCTACATTTGCACTCTGCAGGTCTATGCGTTCTGTAACACGCACGATGTGACTTGGGGTACCAAGGGAGACAACAGCATCAACACCGACCTGGGCGCAGCACGTATTATTAACGGAACGACCGTCGAGGTGGAGATGCCCTCAGAGCAGCTTGACATCGACAGTGGCTACGACGCCGCCCTGCGCAACCTCCGTGACCGTCTCGAAGTCCCTCCACCCCCGGTGTCCGAGAACCAGCAGCAAGAAGACTATTACCGCGCCGTGCGTACATACATGGTGTCCATCTGGATGGTTGCCAACGTTATCCTTGCCATGTCCGTCTCCGAGGTCTACGGTGTCGACTCGGGTGGAACAAATGTCTATCTGGGCATCATTTTGTGGTCTGTGGCTGTGTTGGCGCTGATCCGTGCCGTCGGGTCCACGACGTATGCGATCTTGTTGGTGGTCCAGAAGATCGTTGAGGGCAAGACCAAGTTTGATGCAGGCAATATTGCGAATTCCAACGCTGCTACTTCGAGTTACGTGACGAGCAGATCGACGGCGCGGTATGGAGGTGGGACTAGCTTCAAGGATAAGGTGACGGAGGCCGGCTGGACCATCAAGAGGACGGCAGGCAAGGCTATGTTCTGGAGGAAGTAATGACGTCTGGTAGCCGTATTTCCGAAAGGTGATGCAGCACTCTACGCTATGAGATATGGGTTTCTTTTCTTTTTTTTTCTTTTTTTTTATGTTGGAGTTTGCTTCGCGATACCGTTTGATATTTTGAGTCTTCCGGTTCATCACTTGATTTTCGTGTATGTACTTATCTGATGATTGAATGGATATAATGACAGGATGTATGGATGCCTCAAATCTGTTTTTGTGTAGCGAGCTCTTCGCTAAGTGCGATGCCTAGAAGCCAAGCTCAAAGCCTACATCTGATATCCCCTCCTTTCCCCTGCACGATATCCGAAACAAGGCCCGCCGCCGCAAGGGTCTCCTCATCCTTGAAACGCTTCCCTACAAGCTGCAATCCAATCGGCGCCCCTCATATCGCTCAGGACTATACTTCGCCCACTCACGCGCATCAACCTCGCTCCGCGGGCGATACCCATCATCCACCGGATCCAATGCCGGATCAACGATCAGCCCAGTCGGGAAAACAACACCGGGGTAGTCGAGGATATTCCAGACAGCGGTGTAATTCCAGTACTGCGCTTCGCCCGTCACCGCCGCGGCGCCGACGTACACCGGACAGAGGATGAAGTCTACCCCGCGGGATTTCATGAGGGCGTGGTACGCGTCGCGGTAGGCGTCGCGCTGGCAGTTCAGGGCCCAGTTCTCGGGGATGGTGAGCGGGGAGGCGCGGCTGTAGGCGAAGGCCCATTCTGTTAGGGGGAGGAGGGGCTCGCCGCTTTGGGAGAGGACGGTGCGTTGGCTGTTGGCGGCGTCGGGGAAGTAGAGGGATGACTTGGCTTGTTAGTTGGCAGAGGCAAGGGGGTGAGTGGAGAATTGAGGAGGGACGCACGATAATCTCCCAGCCGTGGTCGTGGCGGTAGGGCTCCCAGTCTACGACTTTTATGCCGGCTGCGAGGAGCTTTTGTTTGGCGTGGTGCAGGGCTCGGGTGACGGGGGATGGGGGCGGACGCATCTATGCCGTCAGTACTTGTCTAAGGGTAGAATAGTGGCTGGGATCTAGGAAGATACCCATCATCCCACATGATGCCAACAGTCATATCTTTGGTGGCTTTTACGCGCCTCCAGGGTAACGGGACTAGCGATGTTTCCGTCTCCCATGGCTCCTGATCGATGACGGCTCGTTGGAAGAGATCTAGATCTTCGACACTCTGGCTGGCCAGTGGTCCGGCGGTGCCGTGGATGGACTCCTGTCCTGGGCCGGGTACTTTGATTCCTGTCGCAGGAATTCGGAGAGCGGTGGGACGGAACCCATATGCACCGCAGAAGCCGGCAGGTGCTCGGATGGATCCGCCAATGTCGGTACCGACACCGAGAGCAGCACACTTGAAACCCATTGAGGCGCCCTCGCCGCCTGAGGAGCCGCCGGGTGAGAGGGTGCGGTTGTAGGGGTTCCTTGTAGGACCGGTGAGATTGTTGTCGCAGCAGAGATGCTAGGATGGGTTGAGAATGTGCTCCTTGCAAGTAGACAGAGGATTCTTACCATCAATGACTGCGGCTGGTTCGTTCGCACATGGAAAACGGCGCCTGCTTTCTCAAGATACCGGGCAAGCAATGCGTCTTCGTTTGCAATGTCATCGACCCTGGGTGCTGTCAGCTGACGGCTTGGGTAGTTGTACCAGAATCGTACCATGCCACAAAGCCTGCGTTGCAGGTTCGACCTTTGATCTCGATATGTTCTTTGACGCTGATGGGGACTCCATGCTACAGTTGACTCGCCGTTAGGGCTGTTTGCTGTTTTGGACATGATAGTCCAACCTACCAAGGGCCCAACAAGCTTTCCAGTCCGCTTAAAATGTTCGTCAAGCTCTTTAGCCCTAGAAATGGCTCTCTCCGCCATGAACTCTGTAGCAAAGTTGAGCTATCACTGTCAGCAAATCCAGATGCAGGTTCATACGTCGCTTCTGGTTGAGCGCAGCATACCAACTGGTGACCCAAAACAGCTCGTTTGAGAAACGCAGTGACTACTTCCTCGGCACTCAGTAGGCCTGCTCCCATACCTGCTACAAGCGCGGTAGCAGACATCTCGGTGATAGAGACTTCTCTGTCGCTGAGAAAACCGCTCTTGCGAGGAAAGTCCTCGACATTTTTCTGGTGCGCCGAGGGCAGTCTGTGTGCGGGAAGGATCCATTGCTTGGGAACAGAGTTCAGAAGTATATCTTTAGCTCGGCGTGCTCGAATCTCCCAATTCTGTACAGACATGTTGTATTTAGCCGATTGATATGATTGATATGACGACAGTGGACCCTTTATAGACGAACAAGCAAGAAGTTAAAGTTAGATCATGGAAGACGAGGAGCATATCTTATACCGCTCTTCAAAATCGCTGCCGTGTATCAGTCCCCTGGACAGAGTCCCTAGCAGATACCTAGAACTCGTTCAGGCTACAACTCCTTGCATCTCGGAATCGGAATGCGGTCACAAATTCCAATCAGGAGACACTATCCTTCCCCGCGCCTCCGATTGAGATAAGCCATAGTCCATAGATATCGTTGGAGATACGCCATGGTGGAGATTGGAGAAGTTCGTATCTGCCGAGCGGCTGTTGATTCGAGAGCACATCAAGCTTTCCCCTCATGGAATTCGTACCATTGGTCCTTCTTTTCAAGCATATCCGCGTGTGGTCATGGGGTCTTCGGCCACCCAGGGCGTATCAGTTGCCCTTTTCGTCCATCACAGATATGGTTATAAGATAGACGGCCGTTCTGGGCCAAACGAAGAAGCAATGAAAGCAAGAGCAACAACTCTGTCCTCCCTCAGGCAGCTGCTAGACAGAGAATCGTGCAGATTGACATATCTACCGGGCCAGAGAAGAGCATTTCAGTTGCATGGCGGAATCATTCCGCCAGACATGCGGAGAAGGTGGAGAACGAAGATCCAAGCTCGGATCAATATGATCAGATTACTGGAACATTGACGATGGTACGAATGGGATTAGACGGAAGAGGGTCGTGAGGAGAGTAATGGCAACTAAGCAGTTTGTTGTTGCTGAAGCGACATGGACGTCAGGTGACAAAGAACATCCCAACAGTCCATCTCATGCCTGACAAGCATCCCCTGAGCCTATTCATTCTATGCCCAACATGACATTCTATTACCTTCTTCGCTTCTCAAATTCGGTCTACCACTGCCAGTGACAATTCCTGCGAACGCAGCATCTGCCGAAGAGCAACCGATTGAATGCCATATTTCTGGCAACACTCGTTGACCATGCTGATCAGCTTGGTAAATCCTGGGACATGTTGATCGGTGACGAGCACGCCAATGACGGCCAAGGACTTGTGCTGGCTGATATGCCACACATTGATTTCATGGATTGAAAGCACTCCCTGAATCTATCCAAGTTACTGTGAGAGCTGAGATGACATCAGAGTAATACAACGTCGCTTACTTTTTCCAGATCACTTCTTAAGTCATTGAGATTTACACCAGAGGGAGTACATCCCAAGAGGATGGATCCGGTTTTCCGCACTGAAAGCGTCAGCACCATGTAACACTCCACAGATGGAGAACAGCATACGGAGCGGAAGAGAGGATAGTATGATTATGAAGGCGATCCATAAACTTGCTCCCGGATCAGCGTAGTATCGTCCTTCAAATTTCGAGAACCAGATTACCAATGCAGCAATCATAACGCCGAGATTGTTCACTGCATCTCCGATAATATGGAGCAAAACTCCTAGAATTCCAACATCACGGCAACTGGATTTTGTCCTCTTGGGTGGAAGCCCTATATTGGCCTGCATCAAAGGTTTAGCTGAGCTCATGCAGAATCCGAAACCGTCGATGTGGCTATGCGGACACACCTTCGGCGTCCCTGCCTCGACCTCGGCTCTTATGGACGAGTCTGTCGAAGCATCCAACGCATGTCGATGAGCATGGGAACTGTCGTCTAATGACTCAATATTAGCAACGAGACCGCGCATCCAGAAAGGAAAGCCTGCCGTGAAGAATAATAGCACTGAGGATATTGAGACCCAAGCCAACGCATCCAACAATGAACATGAGTCTGGGATTCTCGATTTCTAGGGGATATCAGTAAGTCGCGTGCGCATTGAAGGGGACACAAACTGTGCAAGGATATAAATCGCTCCACAGCCTGCAATAGAATGCTTATGCCCAGCGCAAAAAGAAGCGCTCCGTTAAAGAAAGCTCCCAATAATGGTGCTCGCTGCCACCCGAAGGCCAGTATTTTCGGCGGATCATCGATCTCAGAAAGCTTTATTTCCCGTCAGTGAGTAATTCCATGCTATTCGTTCCTCAAGACCTTCAACCCACCTTCAAGGCCGACAAGGCGACAACGAACCCAATCAGATCAGTCAACTGGACTGTTCAGCAGATATCACCTGGAAGATAACGCAAAGCGTACATAGTGAAAGGCATCTGCCAGCAGAGCCAGCGAATGAGTGTACAGGCCAACTTCTGATATCAGCTTTGAATGCCAAGGTTCATTACTCTGTGCAGAGGACAAATACTTGAGATTTCAGTCAAGAAGAAACATGATGATATCCCGATCACCATGATCAAGCGCTGTGAGCGCGATATGCTCAAGGCCATCTTCGGAAGTATTGCTCCAACGCTGCTCAGGTCAAAGTATTGAAGAAAGGAGTCGTATGCTATTAAGGGAAAGACTAAAGAGACAGCAAAATCTGCTTTCACTCCCTTCTTCGCCTGCGCCTTGTGTAACTTTTCATGCCTCGGATATCTGCAGAGTTGTGCAGAGAGTGTCGCCATTCATGACTGAGGCCTCGTGATAGTGTGCGACTTTATCTGGCCAGAATCCAGAACAAAACTAGCATGCTAAACTACTCCTTCCACAGCAGGGGAACGTGCAGCTCTGCTATTTCTCGTTTAGTTGTTGCTGTCGTCCAGTCAACGGAGAGACGTTGACTCTTCTCGCTATTCAATACTAAATCGACAGCAACGAGGATATTCAGGGTCGCCCCCATATTGTACAAAAGAACTAAAGCGCTTTCATCAACCTTGGAAGCCGTCTATTCTTTCCTGCCAGTTCCCGTGTCTCAAAACCTGCCATATGTTTCTATCCGGCAAAGGCGATGTCCATACAAGGCTAGAGTCTGGCATAGGAGAGCTCCGGCCTACAAAAGAGTGTATAGAATAGATGTGATTGAGAGATTCTGAAGCAACTATTACTTGATAGGGTATAATCAACGAGAATCAATAGATACATGCAAAATCAGTTAGTGCTCGCACAAGTTAAACTCCCCCATTTCAAAGTCCCGGTTCTGTTCCTGCGACTTGCTGGAGCGCTCCTCCATCAATTCCTTGCGGTACTGCTTTGCCTCCTCCAGGGTGATGGGCGTAGCTTCGAGACCCTCGTTGACCATATCCTGCAACTCAGCCGGGAGTCTCTCGCTCAGCAACTTCCCGACAACCTCCTGCCGTTCCTTCCACCAGTCCTCCTGTTGAGGGGGCACATTCGCCGAAGAAATGATCGAGAGATGGGGGTCTACGAGGAAGAAAGCGAGGATCTTGCGATGGCCTGGCTTGGTCCGATCTGCCAGCGTAAACGGCGACACCTGGTGCTGGAGGCTGTTTGGGAAGGTGAGCAAGCGTCCTTGGCGAGTGTCCACGCTGCCTAGGACCTGAGTGACATTGCCCTCATTCCAAGTCGCCTCATTATCCAAGCCGAAGATTTCCTGGACGAATTCGTGTCGCGATTGGTGATAGGAGATATATGAGACTTCTTCTGTATCTGCCCGTTGCCGGAACGCGAGTCTGCTGTCGGTGATGTTCTGGCTGTCGTAGTAGTAGATAGCCGAAGCGCAGATATGCTCATTCTGTGAAAGTCAGTGTTTGCTCCAGCCAACCCCGACAAAGCAACATACCAGTTGTCCCTCGACGTGCCACGATCCGCCCTCGTACTCGGGCTTCTCCGGGGTCAGCTCGATGTTGGCCAGCTTGACGATTACTTGCAACCCATTCAGGGCAAAATCCTCGCGCAGGTTGACCTGGCCCTTGGCCTCGATTACACGGGGAGCGAACTCGCCCGGTTCCGGGCGTCGGATGGGCTCTCGCTTTTGCCATTCGTCATGTCGTTGATAATATTCGTCACTATACTCGTCTTCCTCGTTTGCCGGCTGCGGCTCCGGCTCGGGATGCTCGTCATATTCGACTTCATCGTAGGGGATCCTCTTGTACTTATCCCGCACGAGAGTCAAGGTCGTGTTCCACAGCGGAATGGTCTGAGTCAGGATCTTCTCGATGACTTGGTACAACGGCCGGTGCTTCTTTGGATGCAGGTTATTGATATACGACGCAATGCGACATTCGCCATTGTCAGCAAAATGCACATCACAGGGAAGCCACTGGAATTTGCGGCTGTAGGGTCGATGGACGCTTCCCCAGTCGCGGTCGACAGTAGCACTAGCTTCCTCTTCCGGAGGAATTGCAAGTACCTTGCCCTCCCCGACATGATTCAAAAAGTCCTCGAGCCCAATCAGTTTCCTATGGAGAATGCGGGTCCGGCCATAGATGACGGGAAACAGCGATGGGTGGACCAGGTCGACCACCTTGTCGTCTGATCCAGGATGGTAGTCTTTGAGCTCTTCAGGCACATCCTCCAGGGGCCGAACAGTATCTCTCAGCATCTGGCGCAAGTCTTCTCCGATGGCAGTATCAGATTTGACCACGCCAGCATCAAATGCCACGACGTGCTTGGTGTCCAGGAAGACCTTGGCTTTCCACTGCGCCTCTTTGATGATCCAGTTCATCATGGTGGGAGTAATATCTTCTCCACTGTCCATAATTTCCTTGCGCCATTTGGCAGTAATTTCTTCAACAAAGACCTTCATGTAATGTCAGCGATGCTCATTCAGGGAAGAAAGCAAACGCACCTTTCTCTCCCAGTCCGGCTTGTCGGTAATGGAGTTGAGCGCTCGCATCATCAAGATCTCCCGATGGGTAGTCAAGCGTCTGGCATCTTAGCTTCAGCGCAATCAATCGTAATCGATGAGCAACTCACTCAGCGAGACTAGTCTCCAGTGCATTAGGGAAAATGTCAAAAGCCCCCGGGCTCCAATTCAAGGGGATGGAGTAACCCGGTAAGTCGAAGCGCGTGTTTCCAGACTCCATGGTCATTGAGCGCAATTGTATGCGAGGAAGTGGCCAGAGAACCCTCAGTAGCGAGAGGACTCTGTTCATGTTATGGTGATGATATTTATACGGAGAGTATCAGAGGT